GAGAAACGTTAGCGGCTAGCGCAGCCCCCAGGAAACGTCAGACTGAGACGCGACGCATGCAGTCTTGCCCCGCGTTCGATGTCTCTCGGACGACGAAGATTCTACGCCGTCCGGCCAATCACGTTCCATAACCGCAGCCGAGCCCCCGCTGACCTTGGACGGGATTGGCCGGACGACATAGAATCTTCGCCGTCCGAGAGACATCGAACGCGGGGTTGGTTTTACCGGCTTTGTAGTTTGTACACTCGGGGGCAGATTGATGTTCCATCACTCCCTACCCATCGGGCTCCTATGGCTCAGCACTGGCTGCTGCCAGTGTTGTCTGCCCTCAGCACTGCTCAGCACTGCCTGTCAGTGCCAGTGCTGCCAGTGCCAGGGGCGCGGGAACTACTTTCCGACTGGGGGGGCACACCATAATAGAGATTAACCTAGGGTACCCCCAAATCTAGGTTTCTCACCGGTTTTAGGCCACTTATTTTTCACCCCTCGGATTTTTCAACAAAAAAAGAAAACATTTGCAAAAAAAGTGTGGTATTCCGTCTCAAAGCTGTGGGGGCACCGCCCCCACGGCCCCAGAGTTGGGGGGGCAAGCTGCCCCCACTGCCCCCCCGGCTCCCGCGCCTATGGCCAGTGCTGCCACTGGCAGCAGCCAGTGCTGAGTCATGGGAGCCCGATGGGAAGGGAGTGGTGGAATATCAATCTGCCCCCGAGTGTACAGCGCCTAACGAAGGTTTAGGCCAGGGGATGGGATCCGCTGGATTTTCCTCAGCCGTTTGGCCTCTGAGCGAGCTAGAGCTTTGCGGAAAAACGAGTGTGCTGCTCGTGACGCGAAAAAGCCGATGATAGGTACCCAATTTTAAGACCCTAGATTTTTGGCTCTTCCAGGTCAGGTCAATGACCAAAACAGTTTGAAAATCTGGACCTGCTAGAACTTTTTAAAGTGAGGTCATGTTTTTCGGGGTTCTCATTACGAATTTCATGTTAGTTTTGATTAAAGGTAGTGTGCCAGCTTTCTTGGACCGTATGGAGTTAATGGCCCAGATAAGGAGAACCGGATTTTTAGAACTTATCCATACCTTCAAAACTCATGGAAACGTCTTAAATTCTTCAAATTTTGAGTACCCCAGTGCGAAATTCGCCCCGACGGGTTGTCGGTCGTACCCCAACCACATTTCACACCACTATGAACAATAAATGCACACACTGAAATCGCTATTACCGATATGCTCATCCAATCAAGTTTCGATAAACCCGTTCATCATCATCTCCTGCGGTTTCGAACACGCCTGTTAGGTGGCTTCTGATGCTCGTCGAGGTCGGAATTTCCAAATACGCGTGGTGCGTCGGGCCGCGCGCTCTGACTTCGGCCAAGAAAAATGCGTCAGCTGATCATTGTCATTTCTGCCACTTGCGTGTGGTGAAATGGGGTCATAACTTATAAGACGGCTTTTTCATATCAATTATTTTACATAAAATCATATTTCAAACCATAAATAATGTTCGACAGCCAAATAAAAGAAACAATACCAATACGGGCTTACAGTTTAAGGCTCGACATTGTGTTGTCTACGATTAGACAGCTGATAACTCATTCCCGTCCGTCGTATGGTCGTAACACTATAATGACCTTTGCTTATTGTCACAAGTGCGCCGCATTCGCGATTGTTGCCCGACGCCTGTTTGCAGGTGAGCCCACTACAGTTGTTATACATATCTAAAAACCGAAAAACTTTTAGGCGAAAAGGGCACTATTCCAGGCCCATTTTTGATTTTTTTTGCGATATTAGGTAAAAACAGAAGCTTCTTATCCTAGGAAAAATAAAATGGGAAATCTTTCAAAGGTGGCACACTACCTTTAAATATGATATGCTTAATTAAATATGATATGCCTTTGGGGTAGGTCGGGTCAGGTCAGGTTAGGCTAGGTCAACCAGTACCTATGCGTCCTGCCGGCTATCCATAGTACTCGTAGGTGTCAACCACCACTGACAGCTTCATAATGTGGGACCTAGGCAAAGAGACTATTCTCAAATGTTTAAATGGGTGCTAAATTGAACTCAGCTCCAAAAACTACCCTTCTAACATGTAAAACTCGAAGTGAACCAAGGTCATCTAAGGCCAGTGACCTTGAACTGACCTCCACGTGACCTTGGCACCAACTATTATTCAAGGAACAAACATTTTTTCACATGTTGGAACGTTTACAACTATAACAGTAAGACCTGGAAACGCACGGATAATGTGCGCTGGCATACCTACGCCGAATCGCCGCCGGCCGCGATCCGCCGTTTTCGGCTATTTTGGCCTAACATGGTCTCTAGAAACAGGTTGCAGGTCAGCCAGGTCATTTGGGTCAGGGTCAGGAAATTTTCAGACTAGATGCAAAATTAGTTGACCCGATGTAAAGCGACGTTTCGTCGCGATTCTCCGCTTTAGTTACGCGAGTTTTTTTTTTTTACTAAAAACCGAGTGGTTCCATTGCGGGGGCTCAGCCCGACTATTTTTTTCTAACCCATGTCACGCCCGTAATCTTTTTATGTATAGTGCACGCCTATTGCAGTAGCGGCGGAGCACCTTCAATTAAGGTGTGGGGGGGGGGGGGGGGGGCACTGTCGACTTTTGGTCCCATTCTTTCCATGCAACGCCCATAGGGCCAATGTTAAAATGCCCAAATCAAATGGGGCACGGTGCCCCGGTGCCCTCCCCGTTCCGCCGCCTATGGCCTATTGCCCTTGTAAGCTTACCATTCCTCATTGCATTTACCCCATATCCATACCCCTACCTTTTCAAGCTGTGGCCTGATGACGCCCATGTGGCCAAAACCCAGGGTCAGGTCGGGTGTTGGCAAGATGTTAAGAAATCTGACTGAAGTGAAGGCGTCTGAGACTTGGGGCCCAGTCGCCAGTGCCGATTTTGTCTGGATCGATAGCCCTGCTGAGGCGGTGGACGCCCGACCGGTAATTATGCGCCGGGCCCCAAAAGGAGCGACAGATGTGTGTCACCGGACCAAACTGGGCGGCCTCAGTAGCGCGTGCTCCCATTTTCACCTGGCTCCGTACCACTCCGTCACTTTGAGACCATGTAGAGATTTATCAGCACAAATCAATCATAAGCCTGCTTTTTAAATCGTAAATATGGTCACAGTAGCGCCCGCCGCCTCTTGTCTTATTCGTAGAATTAAAGATCCCGAATGAATTGCAGTTATTTGCGACGTTCGTGACACTTTTCCTAAGAATATTTAGGTACAGCCGCTTATTGATAGGCTGCATATCCTTGAGGCATTTAACATTTTAGTGGGCTGATCTTTTTCTCAGCTCGCCTGACTGATAGTCGAGCTGTGCGAGCCGCTCACTGCAGTCAGTGGCGGCGGGCCGGCTAAATTTAGCCGTGCGCATGGGCGGCGCGTGCCGCGGGTGGCAGCCGGCCCCGGCCCCGGGGCGGGCGCCCGGCCGAGGCCCGCTGCTGGGGGCGGGGAGCGCGCAGGGGTGTGGGTTGGGGGGAGACGGGTCAGCGGGCCGGACCGTGACCTGGCCGGGCGGCGCGGGACGGACGCACGGGGGCGATGGTGGGCGGGCAGCGCAATTATCGCCGGTCCAGATGAGATGATACACGATGTGATGATTGGTGAGGCGCCGCTGGCTCAGACCTCCTCCAGATCTGTTGTTCGCGGCCGAGATTGAACGGGCCGACTCGGCAGGGAGGGAGCCGAGGTGATCTCAGCGGGCCGATCAGCGAGGCAAAATCCCACTATCCTGTTGACTTTGGCCGTGGTTGCTCGCTCAGTTATGGAGCTGATCCGACCGACCGCAGGTGTAACCGACCCAATGACAATTATTTACGATTTATTAAATGGCAGTGCGCGCCGCGAAGCGCCTTGAGGCATGCTCGAGCCTCACATGTGTGACATGCCGTTATTGATTTTGGCTCCATGGTGTGGATAGGTCTCCATCTGAGTTCGCGTTGGCAGGCGGCGGTTGGGCCCGGCAGCGGTCGCGGTGACTGTTCGACTCGCGGTGTGTGGGTGGAAGGCGCGGTACGCGGGGCGTCTGTCGCCGCTCCACCACCCACCTCCCTCCCCGCCCTCCCTCAGCGCGCCTTACGTGTGTTCTGTGTAGTGGTGTTGGCTGTGGCACAACACGTAGTCGACAGGTGACATTTTTAGTCACATGGCCTCCACTGCCAAACGACCGTTTCACCCACCCACGAGCATGAAGCGACTATTGTCCAACTGCAAGCTGCCTACAGCACGGGACTGAACTATTGTGGCCGACTGGTCAACGGTCCTCCTTGCCTCCCTATTCTTTCATCCTTCATTCAACTCGAGTGTAGCGTGAATGTCCAGGCGAGTCGTGAGGGCAGACGTACTATGGACTATGCCTCAAGGTCAAGACTTTAGACAATCATAATGCTCTCCTAAAGCTGCATGGCTCAATGGTTTACACCGAGTCTCAGCTGGGGCACGGGGAGAGGGGTCTGTCAGCGACACCGAGCGGCCCGTAGCCAGGTTAGCTGATCGATAGGCCCACACACTGGCGGCCGAGAGCCGGCTGGCCCTATCAGCAGACTGCAGGGCAGACAGGGTCAGACAATATGGACAGCGGCTGCAGCGACCGACACGCTACACGGCGGCGCAGTGAAGTTCACATAGACTGTGTGGGGGCAGACGCTGGTGAACTTATTTAATCAGTCTAGGACGGCTTAGTGCCCTGGCTTGTCAATGCTGACTAAACATCGGATGCTATGACACGTGTCTACAGGTCAGGTGTTCCAGCTCTGACATTGCCGTATGTCTAACCGGAGAGACATATCCCGGTCCGGCGCTGTTGTGCCTGTCTGTCCCGATAGTTGTCCTCCTCTGACATTACCGCAGGTGTCTGACCGGCCAGGTCGATCTGACACTGCAGTGCCTTTCTGACCGTCCATGTGTCCCTGTCTGACATTGCCTTATGTGCCTGGCCCGACTGGTCGATCTGACCCGCTGTCCCTCTCTGGCCGTCCAGGTGTCCCGGCTGGTGATCCTACACGAGGAGGCCGAGGATGGGAACGCCATGCCGAACCTGGAGCGGCCCGTGCAGGCCGTCTCCCGGGCCGTCAGCAACCTGGTCAAGGTAGGCTCTCTTCGCTGGGTGATCTACTGGCTGGCAGTGGCTACTGGTGCTGCTGGTTCTGTCCAGGCAATGCCAGTGAACTGTACTTCTTCGTTCTTTACTCTCGACACTCTCAAACGGTTTCAATATGAAACTCGGAATGGCATTGAGCTCATAAAAAACATAAAAGTATTCCATTTTCGTAACTCGTTGGAAATGGTCTTGTCGGGAGAAGCTTAGCACTAAAAACGGCTAGCCAGACGGGGTATAAGGTCATTAGAAGCTCGCCCTTGAAAGCATCATTAATCGTCTCTACGTCAAGCGTTACATCTGCGTTTCTCGTTCGCCGAGTGACGCACACGGTGTGGACGCCGCGCCGGTGATTGATCTGTGTGTGGGCCGTCCTGTATTTCAGGTGGGCCGGGAGACGATCAACTCTAGCGACGACCCGATCCTGCGCCAGGACATGCCGGCCTCGCTGGTGCGCGTGGAGCAGGCCAGCCGGCTGCTGGAGGAGGCCTCCTCCATGCTGAAGGCCGACCCGTACTCGCAGCCCGCCAGGTCAGTCGGGCGGGGCGGACTGACCGCCACCGCCCACTGCGGAAAACGCTAGAAAATTCCGACACTTATGGCGAAATTACCTGAGCGATTGGTTTGCGTAGTTAACAGTCCGGTCTCTAGGGTACGCACATAAAAGGTCAAATTCGTGTATTGTGAGACTTGATGGTAGTGGCAAGTGACAACAGATCTCCTGCCATGTCGGCATAACCCTTTAATTGCCTTTAAATTTCACCGTAATTGTCTCGCCATGATAATCGGCGAAACCCTGACGGGTGTGCACACGACCGCATTTAGGCGGGGTCTCAGCTCGCCACTACCGCGGCCTACGACCGCCCCATTTTGGCCGCCTCCGGGACCAGGACCGGGCCTCTACTGGCGGCTGCTGTGGGCGGGCGCCCGTGCCGCCCCATCGCGCTGTGGCGGACAATGAAGTCACCTCGTTAGATGCGGGGGGCGGGGGAGAGGGGCGAGGGGCGTGCAGAGCAGCGGGCCCGCCCTGCGAGGACGTCACTGCTGATCACTGTTCTGGATAGGGGACGGTGAACTACTGAGGAATCTGTCCAGGGAGTCAATGTCACGGATGATCGGGGCTTCAGGGAACGAAGAATGATTGTCCGACTTAGTCAAGGGTCACTATAACGGATCATTTACTGATTCGTATCAGGCAAGGGCATGCCCCTAAGCTCTTTGCCAAGGTGGCCGCGTCTGCATCGATAAGGAAAAATACTGTGTTACCGCTAGTGCCAATTTACCACCCTATTACCATCCGTTCCGTCGTTTTCATCCTCAGGATAGGATAATCAAATCCTCCTCCAAGCCCCACCCACCCCCTGTTCCGGGCTGACAGGCAAAGTTATCCCATGCGGGTAGCTCTCATAGGAGCAGGCCCGTAGCCGGGTGCGGTGACCGTCAGGGGGGCTGTCCCCATGATGGGCTCAGCCCTGACAAGTCTGCAGGGTGCCCTCCCAGACCAATGCTCCCTCTGATTTCCGTCATCCTTCCGGCTCTGAATTGTTCTCGCTGACCAAAAGAGCCTAACCCAATGAAACAAACAGACACCGTATTGCCATCCCGTCACCGTCACTACCGTTTTCAGGGGTAAGCTGATCGACGGCTCGCGCGGCATCCTTCAGGGCACCTCCTCGCTGCTGCTCTGCTTCGACGAGTCCGAGGTGCGCAAGATCATCGTCGAGTGTAAGCGAGTGCTCGACTACCTGGCCGTGGCCGAGGTCATCGACACCATGGAGGACCTGGTGCAGTTCGTCAAGGACCTCAGTCCCTGTCTGACCAAGGTGAGGCTGCGGCCCGGTCCCGCCACGAACCTCAGCCCTGTCTGATCAAGGTGAGGCTCAGGTGCACCGCCGTGACCTCTGTCCTGTCAAGTGAGGCACGGTCGTCGTTTGGCCAGACGGAAGCTGTCGATCGGGCTCAAATGACAAGGCGCTTGTCGGCTGGGGAGGGAGGAGGGAGGTCGTCTCGAATGGCATTGATGCCGACGTGTCTGCTGGACGTGGTGGGGCCGATGGGTAGGTCGTCTCGGATGACGGGCTGTGGACGGGAGGGGGGGGGGGGGGTATTGTAGGGGATAATCTCGCCCAATGAAATGTGGGCGGCTCCGAAGGCACGGCTTGCCAGCAGTTTGGCTCATCAGCTGAAAGCCTCCGGTTACATAATCCCACTCGATGAGGGTATTCGATCAGAAACGGACGACCTCGATGGGAGTTTCATGTCGGAATGTCCAGCTGTTACGGCGTTTCTGAAATATGTTACGACAAGCTTGCATTAGGGAATTTCATTCGATTAGCTTTCATCAGATTGCTTGTGACTTGTTTATGATCGTAGTTAGTATAACTGATGACAGAGGGGCTATCTGTCTATTTGGGCTGATTTCAGTTTGCTACGTGAAACTTTCTGAATACCCGAGATTTGATCCTACCCATCATGTTAGTGTTGATGCATTATGAATGCATCCCCCTGAACCACTCCAGAACATAAGCCACCCAGCTCCTGGGCTAGGCACACTGCGCCGTCGCCTCGACCCTGTGTACGGGGTGTCGGCGATCGCTTGGTGTGTCGAAAACAGGCCACTACAGGGCGGCGGTGCCCCTCCGCCCCTCCCCGCGGGCCCGGCTGCCAGCTCCGGGCGGCGGCGGCTCAGCTGCCAAGTGTACTGGGGGCGGGGAGGAGGGGTGGGGGAGAGGGGGCTCCGGCGAGCCGCGGCCGCCACCATTACTCACTGCTCAGACAGAGTGGTCGCAGCCCGGGCTAATGTCGAGCTGCCGAACACGCCGGTACCGACACGCACCGGTGGTGATCAACTCGGGAGCCAGGTCAACTCGGAGCTTTTAACTATACGTCTACTGGCTGGCTTCACTCACTGTCAGACACGTTTTTGACATTGAGATGATACCGGCTCGATACCAATAACGTGACCATTGCCTATATGCTTTTGTGAACGGATACGGGGGACTCGTTTCCTTCTACTCATTCAGATAACCGAAATAAGCCAACAAACTGCCCGCCCCGTCTCGGAGCCCCGCTGAAGTGCTCAGCTTCCCGACACATCGGCGCCGTCACGGCTGACAAGTTCATCTCCCGCTCGTCTGACTGAGACTGACGTGCTCGTGCTCAAAGTTTGACGCCGACCGGCTACTGCCATTAGCTGATATACGGCCGAATGGGACGCCGGCCGTCGTCAGGTATAGACGGCGGCCTGCCAGCGTCCTGCCGTGACCTGACCGACGGCCAGCTGCCACGATAAAGGGCAACTCAATGCATCAGAGACATCAGGTCCATGCCCGTAATGGCAACTGATGAACTGAATGTGCCATAGGCAGGTTCATTTTAGATTGATCAGTTTTTGTATCTTTAGGATTTTGACAATAAATGCAGACAAATAATGCCGCTATTATCGCGGACAAACTGCGTAGCTCTACTCCACACCGACCGTCTAGCGACGCTCGTAGTTATAGTTGTGTGGTGATCTAAGCACAATGGCAAGTCAGATTAGGACAATACCAGTAGTAGGGCCTTGACCAGTAGGTTCTAGGCGAGGCACCAATCACTGTACAGGGCGGCAGTGGATATGCTCGCACTACCGCCGAGCGCAACAGAATCTGTTTCAATCAAGAACGTCCAAAGTAAACCGTCCTGTTTAATCATTATTAATGTTTTCTTGGTACGTCATGATAAATGAATGCATCTCAGCCTCACTGAGCTATCCGGGAACGGCGGCATGATTAGGCTCTCCAAACCACAGAAAGAAAAACAAACGTATAACGCGAATCAGGGCCGTATGAGCCTAGCATGCGTGATGATCTTGGCCAGTTACCATTAGTCCTAGAACCTCAGATTCAGTGTGGAGAGGATATTCCATTCTGGCATGCACTTGTCATCTCCACTTGGGTCGATTATTATTTTACACTAATTTTTCGTAATTGTCTTGCAATGTATCGTACAGGATGTATAGTAAACAGGAAGAGTAAGCAAGAGCAGTTTCCAGTTCAGTTTAAGAATAAAGTTCATTAATAGGTGGGGCATTCCACGATAGATCGTACCACTTTTTTCCAATTTGACACCCTCATCGCACGGATTTTAACGATAATTGGTCTAAGGGGTAATCAGGGGCTCTGAATCCTCCTGTAACAATTTCAGGCTTATCAGATGAGTGGTTTTTGAGTTAAAGTGTATAACATGTTTTGGATCTTGCGTTGCAGCCCCAAGTTTGGCGGGCTGTAACTCTAAGACGGATAATCCAAATGCCAAATGTTATACGGCATTGAACTTGCATTGAAACAAAGAATAATATGCATTTTTAAAATTTTGAAATCTATATTATTTTTGATATATAACACCTCGGGTTTCTTTTCATTTGCATTTTTATGCCTTTGGGACCAATTTTTTTTGAATTTTTATTTATTTAAAAACATTTTTGGATCATTTTTAAGTAGTATGCAAAAAATTAGAAAGGTGTTCTTTCTATAAATGTACTTATTTTGCGTCACCGTAATGGTCTCGAATTGTGATTTCGGAAGAGAGCCTACAAATGGTGTGGTAAATCTGCCTAGTGACATCACTGGCTACTGAAAGTTCAATTGAAGTCATTTTTGCCTCACTTTTGCATTGTTGACCTTGCGTGACGTCATTCGTACGTCACTAGGGTCATAAGAGTTTTTCGTCAATAACTCTCGATCAAATTGAGCTAGAGAGACGGGAAAGCTACCAATGGACTCGGAAAGACGTTGCGAATCGAATGATGTGCCATATGATCTCATTCACCCAGCTTCGTGGCCTGACCGGTCTGTTAACCGTCTCTGTGGCGGCGCTGTTTGTCCAGCGCCGCGCTGGTTGGCTTTGCCGCGGACTCGGGGCGGTCACGTGATGCCCGGCGGCTGGCTGCCGGCTGGGCCGCCCGGTCGGGGAGCGGAGCCAAATACACGGCAGTGTGCTGACCCGAGGTCAGCGACTTAAGCTGACCTCACCAGAACAAACAGTATACCATTCGACGCGCCGGAGCTAGGCAAACACAAAGATGCTAAAATCGCGGCTCTGCGACCATTTGTTGCGAAGTTATCTATCAAAAACCGGACCCGTAATTTGGGTCACTTGAAATGACCTCAGGGGTCACCAATGAACCCGAGACCTTAAAATGTGGTATCATTCGATGCATCTTGTAACGGCGCACATGCTCGTTTTTTCCGCAAGGTTCTAGCTCCATTAGAGGCGAAACGGCGAGCTGGGGTCGTACCGAACCCCCGGAAACCCATTTTGTATAGGCATTTAAATGAGGAACTTATAGAAAGAACACCTTTCTAATTTTTTGCATGTCGATTTTAAAGGACCTGAGGTTTATTTTGAAGAAATAAAAATGGCAAAAATTTTGGTCCCAAGGGCCATTATAGACAATTTAAAAAATACTACTTTTTATAAAATAGACTTTTTTCAATATGTAAAGCTTTTCTTTCCAATTTTAAAAATACTGTATTAATCTTTGATTCATCGTTAGTTCAAAGCTGTTTACCGTTTGTTGCTTGCTTAGCTCGTTTTTGAGTTATAGCTCATCAAACTCACCCTTACAATCTGAAGTTAAGAAAATATTATGCAATGTAACTCAAAAAGTTTTCATCTGAGAAGTCTGATATTTTGGCAGGTGTTTTTGGAGCCTATGATTACCCCTTGTACCAATTTTCATTCAAATCTGAGAGATGAGGGTGACGGGCCTGGTACCTACGATCTATCGTGGAATGCCCCAGGTGTGTTGTTCGTTTCTTATAGGTATCTTGTGTTGTTCCACGCATTCATCTGTGAGCGAATTGGGCTAATTATTTTCCCAAAATTTGCCACGAGTTCAGTGCGCCTGTTATAGGTATATACGCGATAGGCCTACAGTTTCTCACTTGCACGCATGCACACGCTCGTTTCGGAGTGTTATGCGTGCCGGGGCGAGGGCGCGTGCCGCCGCGTATGGTAGGCCTCCGGCGACAGGTGGTCTTTGGCGGCGCGAGTTTGGCTCGGCGCGGCGGGGAGAGGAGACCGAGCTGTGTGCTCTGCGCGGCGCGGCACCTGTTTGACTTGGCGCAGGGCTGCCGGCGCCGCGGCGCGCGCGCTCGACTGAAACATCATCGGACGGGCGCCCTGACAGACACCCGTCCCATCGGCCCCGTCAGCCCCGGCGGCAGCTCGGACCGGCCCGCCACTACCGGAGAGAGGGCTGAGTCACCTATCGGAAATAGTCCGCCGCCCCCGCCCCCGCCCCCGCCCGCGCCCGCGCCCTGTCGGCAGGGACAGCTCGGGGCAGCTGCCAGCCCGCCCCTCAGCCGGCGAGCAGACTCTCCACGACTGGAGCCGAGTCGGGAGAAACCAACCGTTATACGGCGGGACGCTCCGAATCGCTCGGCACACTCCTCAGCTCCGGAACGGAACGATCCATTCCTGGGAACGTAACGATGATGATCGCCGCTTCGAGCGGACGTATTCCATGTAGCTATCGTCTCCATTGTTGCTTATGTCCTGCAAAAGTCTGGAGCTATACGAGTTCAATTTATATAAAAAAAACTCCAAGTTGGGAACTGAACAAATGACGGGAGTCTCAGTTCGGGGGATTTTGGTGCGTGTCCACGTGTCTGTGCGATATCGAGTGATGAGGACCAGACGGGAGCGCCCGGAACTACCATTCCTATGTGTGTCATTCCGTGAGATGTCACATGACACACTGTTTTGCCCTCTGTCAGGTGTCACATGACCTACGGTTGTGCCCTCTGACAAATAACACGTGACTCACGGCTGTGCCCTCTGACAGGTGTCACGTGACTGACGGCCGTGTCTTCTGACAGGTGTCACGTGACGTGGACGCCCGAGAGAAGGAGCTCACCCATCAGGTGCACCGTGAGATGCTGATTCGCTGCCTGGAACAGGTCAAGACGCTGGCTCCCATCCTCATCTGCAGCATGAAGATCTACATTCAGCTGACCAGCCACCCCAACAGTGCGTGAAACGCGGGAGGGAATGAGAGGGTTATAGGCCTATAGAGTTTAATCACCCGTCATCTGACGATTAAGAATAGAGGACAGCGGAGACAAGGTGTAAATTAACCTTGTGATATGCAAAAAGTTCAGTTATTCCCTCGCCGTTTGGTTACCATCGCTGCATAAGATCGCCGAACAGTGTGCCGTTACGACCGCTTGTTTTACCGCCGCTGCCACCCCGCACCTACTCGTGCTCGTCTCCGGCAGACAAGGGCTCCGGCGAGGCGGCGGAGAACCGGAACTACCTGGTCGGCCGGATGGGGGACGAGATCACCGAGATCATCCGCGTGCTGCAGCTGACCACCTACGACGAGGACGAGTGGGACGCCGACGTACTGACCGCGCTGCGGCGGGCCGAGAACGCCATCGCCGCCAAAATGCAGCCGGCCACCGACTGGCTCCAGGACCCGCTGGTGAGCGGCGGGCTGGGAAGGGAAAGAGATGACCGGGCTGGTTAGGGAGCTGTGAATGGGGTGGGTTGGAAGGTGGCAAGAAATGGTGAGTGGAAGTGAAGCCGATGACGTTAGATTGAGGACAGTTCGTGGGACGTCCAGTGTAGGTTTGGGATCGGTGGTGAAACTGCGAAGACGGTTCTGAGATTATTCAGAAGACCACGTACTCAATGCCTGGCTGACGATCATCTGCCCTCCTGCTTGGTCCGCGTATGACTTGATGATGAAAACAAATGGATGCTAATCAAAAGACACATCGCATACGTCCACCGTAGAGGTGTTTTTAGGGAAGTAAGAAACTCTGAGTCACTTCAGTGGAAGCTGATTGGTATCGTTTGTCAGCTGCGGCTGTCTGCGTCTCGTCAATCTCAATTGTTCTAACCCAGTAGCGTTAACCGATAGTGATGGCGCCTTCCTCTTCTCCCCGGTCCCGCTTAAATCCCTCTGTTTTCGTATTGTCAGAGATCACCCTACAGTTCAACTATGCTGCACCTTCTCCGACGTATAACTGGTATGCTGACTCTTCTCCTTCCAACCAAAGAGCTCACCTGATCTGACCCGACCTGGCCATTAAAATGAGGTGACATAATCTGGGATGGTACTTTGTTACGATGCTGAGAAAGTTGGTATGTTTTTACGTCAGGTCAGATTGTGATCTGATCTGAATCTAAGTGCCCTGACTCTACTCGGACCTGACCTGATCTTTACTGCCATTCTGGTTTGACCAAAATCCAATCTGACTGACCCGCGCCCGGACCTCTCTCTGACCGGACCCTGACCTGACCTGACCTGACCTGCCCTCTCAGGCGGTGCGCGGCGGCGTCGGGGAGAAGTCACTCCGCTCGATCGTCGAGCTCTCAGGACGGGTGGCGGACCGCGCGCTGCCTCAGGACCGGGACGCCATCAACAAGATGGCCGGCGACGTCACCTCCATGACGGACGCGCTTTGTGAGCTGCGCTCCAGCGGCCAGGTGAGAGCCGGGAGAGCCGTGAAGTCTGTGGGTTTGGTAGACTTGAGTGGGATTGATTAAAGCTACAAAATATGTGTTGCCCGATGGTATGACCAGAAGGCTGAGATTTTTGTGTAAGCTGACTGCCGATGTGTCCTTATACGGGTTTATGTACTGTGAAATGCTTCCCTCTCTGTATATTACGTTCATATGTGTATGTGAGCTGATTCCACTGTCTGGCCTGTCCGTGTCCTCCCATGGTATGTACCAGCCCTCAGGCGCAGGGGTTGGCCCGCAGCGTGCAGGGTCAGCTGGGGGGGGGGGGGGGAGCTGATTCTCTGTCTCTCCCCTCAGGGCACCAGCCTTCAGGCGCAGGGGTTGGCCCGTAGCCTGCAGGGTCAGTTGGGGAGCTGATTTATCCCTCTGTCCCTCAGGGCACCAGCCCTCAGACGCAGGGGTTGGCCGGCAGCCTGCAGGGGCAGTTGGGGGAGCTGATTCTCTGTCTCTCCCCTCAGGGCACCAGTCCTCAGGCGCAGGGGCTGGCCCGCAGTCTGCAGGGTCAGCTGGGGGATCTGCACGGCCTGGTGCGCCGCGCCGTGGCCAATGTGGAGCGGGCCGGGGTGCGGCAGCCGGCGCACACGCTGGCAGGGCGGCTGGAGCAGGCGCGCCGCTGGCTGCAGACGCCCGACGGGCCGGACCGAGAGCTCGGACAGCGCGCCATACAGCTGGTGGTCGAAGAGGTACGAAGGACGGAAAATGAGTGATGCCTGTAATAAATTGATTTCACACATTTAATGCAGGTGATATCTTATCTTCTTTGCATATTTTATATTGTCATCTGTTTATGTATAATTTTATTATTGAGGATCCCCATTCCCGTATGTAGGTCACACGGTACCCTCTGAACACCATCCATCCTCCTTGTTCCGTTTTCCCTGATCCCCGCTAACCTTCCCCGGCCCACCCTCCCCACAGGGTCGACGGGCAGCGGATAACCTGAGCGGCCAGCCGCGGCAGCAGGTGCTCTCACTCTGTGACGAGGTGGAGGGCCTATCTCGGCAGCTGGCCGACCTCGTCCGGCGCGGACAGGGCAACACGCCCCAGGCGCAGGCGCTCGCCAAGTGAGTCGAAACGCTCGCCTGTGGCGTGGCGGTATCGACATTAGAAGAATGTGGGATAATTTTGCTCGAAAGCTCCCGACAGTTTCTAGATGCCAGTAAATTGAAATAGCGAAATTTGCTTGAAGTATGCCAAATAACGATGAAAATGCTATGATGAAAATTGCTGTAAGTAATTGCTACCAATCGCTGTGTAGAATGCTATTGATAATATGAGGTCTTCATCTGGACTCCAGCGGCTGTCAAAGCCGTCCCACCTTCTACCCCATCACAAACAGCTCGGTCTACCACCGACCACCATCCCCGCTCCGCCTCCCCTGTCCTCACAGGCAGCTCTCGGCTAAGATTAACCCCTCTCCGCCTCCCCCGTCCCCCGTCCTCTACACTCTACAGGCAGCGCTCGGCTAAGACTAACCCCGCCCCGTCCCCGTCCTCACAGGCAGCTCTCGGCTAAGAGTAACGGCTTGCTCTGTCCCCGTCTCTACAGGCAACTCTCGGCTAAGACTAACCGCGCTCCTTTCCCGTCTCTACAGGCAACTCTCGGCTAAGACTAACCGCGCTCCTTTCCCGTCTCTACAGGCAGCTCTCGGCTAAGCTGCAGCAGCTGAAGGACCGCATCCAGAACGCGCTGGTGGGCCGCGTGGTCGAGGACTTTGTCGACATCTGCACGCCGCTCAAACAGTTCACCGAGGCCACGCTGGCCCCCGAGGTGGGTCTCACACGGCTGTTGTCGAGGGAAGGAGGCCGCCGCTGATCAGAGACCAGTTGTACAGTCTGTCTTAAAAGTACCGCGCAAAGTGACGGTGGATCCATCAAGCCTGACCGATGAAGGACTGCCAAATTTGAGTCACCGAAGCAATGGACATTCTCGTCCATTCCCCAGCTCCATTGGTTCGGTGACTTTCAAATTATAGCAGGCCCTTCCTCGGTCAGGCTTGATGGATCCACCGTCACTTTGCGCGGTACTTTTAAGACAGACTGTACATACCCAGTGGCACTGTTGGCTGGCGTTCAGTCCGTGACGGAACCTCAATGGCGCCCGGTGTTGATATATACTCGGAATATTATCGTTGGCGTGGATCGCCCTTTCCGGCACATGCCTTTACTTTGTAGTGATTGTAGCTGATGTGTTATTCATTTAACAGCTCCGAGTCTAGCCTTCATGGATAAGTCTTGCTCCATGTGACATTATTTACCTGACCTTGCAATCGAGGAAGCCTATGAAATCCGCAGCACCTGTCTAGTTACACATACATTCGATAGGACATTGTTATGACCTCACCGACACCTGCCTAGAACACACGTTTTCTCTCCTGCCATTCTAACACAGTGGTGACGTTTCAATATGTTCCCTCTGCTCCCAGGGCACCCCGGGCCGGGAGCAGAACTTCTCCGACAAGGCGGACAACCTGCAGCGGTTCAGCACGCGGGCCGCTCGCACCGGCCGCATGGTGGCCTCAGCCGGCGCCTCCGGCAACAAGAAGCTCTCCGAGGCGCTGCAGGCCTCCGCTAATGAGGTACAGCCCACCGCTAAAGTAATGTGCGGTTCTACCAATCTCAACGGATGGCTTTGACTGGCGATTTTTTAATGCGGAGTGGTCGAAAAGAAGACGTCAAAAGATAAAGTTGCAGCTGCAAGGGTAACGATACAGGTTAGCTACATTCAAAGTTGCATTGTGGTCTGGCTAATCATTCCTAAGCTTCAGAAGCAGAACATGCCCAGGACTGAAACCGCACATTACTTATACTGTGGACTGTACGGTTGGGAAACGTTTGTAACATTGCCGGGATGGTCTACAAGGCAGTAGTCGCGGATAATCACTGTTCGGTCCTAGAAGATAGGCACTAAGCACTACGGGCACCATCGGAAAGTACGTGACGTACCCGCGTTACATATTCGACGCACTCGGAGCCGTCTCATCAAGTGCCACCCATTTAGACTTGTTGATTTGTCTGATCCATTCGACCCCACCAGCTGATCTCTCCGTGTTCGCTGCACGAAAACGCCCTATCGCCGCAGTATTTTGACCTCTTGTGACTTTCTCTGGCCTTTGTGACCTCTAACCTCTGACCTGCCATGTCTGCCGCAGGTGGAGAGCCTGTCGCCCCAGCTGGTGAACGCCGGCAGTATCCGTCTGCAGCACCCTCAGAACCGCGCCGCCGACGAGCACTTTGAGAACCTGCGCCGGCAGTACGCCGAGTCCATCAGCCGAGTGCGGGACCTCAGCGACGAGGCCATCGACGCCGCCAAGTTCATCCGACAGTCCGGTATGTTGGCGGGGAGGGGGTGGGTGGGAGCGCGGGGACCGGGGACTGGGGAGGTTAGGTGGGTGGGGAGGAGAAGGGGCAGGACGTCAGTTGGCGGGAAGTTTTTTTCGGTGATGATTTGATGGTACTGCTCCCCGTCCAGCGATAACCCCGGTTACCCGCAGTATGATAACCAGTTCCATGTTATTCCGTGTTCTACAGAGGAGCTGATGCGGAAACACACTGGCCAGTGTGAGGACGGGATACAGCGGCGGGACCCGCAGCAGGTGGTCGACAACACATCGGCCATCGCCAGGTGAGTCCGAACAACACGTCACCCACTCACCCACCCACACCCCGAACCGCAGCAAGGTGCTCGACACCACCTTAGCGGTCGCCAGGTAAATCTGAGACGGTCGCTCTCCACCCGCACACACGCGTCTTTCATAAATTTATCTCTACTCGTAGCGCGTGGTGGACAACATTTCAGCCCTCGCCAAGTAAGTCTGCTGCATTACTTTGCTCGACTTTTCAGTACCTCTTGTCTAGACTTCTAGCCTCCAGCCCTGCAGTTGTCAGCGGTCGTTTCCATTCCAAGTTCGATAGAAATATGCATCGATAAATTCACGTAAGTTCCTACGCTTCGCTCTACATCAGACTGGCCGACCATAGGCTGACATTGAATTCCAGTGTTACGTTATTAACGTTCACTATCTTCTGCGTCAGGCTGGCCAACCGGGTGCTGATGGTGGCGCAGAAGGAGGCGGACAACTCGGAGGACCCCCGGTTCAGGACCGAGATTCAGGCGGCCGTCGACCGGCTACAGAGCAGTGAGTGTCGGCGTCTCTGAGGGGTCTCCGCGTCAAAATGGAGACTTAGGAGACACGGGTAGATCCCGAACGATGGTGGCTAGCCTCAGTTCGCACCACTGACACATACGTGCAGCGTCCCATTTTGAAGTGGTTCTGCCATTGACTCAGGCATACTCAGGACAATACCGATCACTTGGATGGCACTGACCTCGCTCGTCAGTTGGAGGCACTGATGGGCGTCAATTCGGGATATACCAGGTTACTGACCCCTGACCCGGGTGACCCCAGGCGTGACACCGATGGTGCAGAGCGCCAAGACGGTGGCCCAGAACCCCGCCGACCAGAACGCCGCCGCCCGGTGGCGAGGGGCCAACCAGGAGGTAAGGAGAGTCGCAGGCATGGTCCGTGGACGTTCCGATGCACAGCTGGTACCTCAGTATCTGGATAGGATGCGTATCATCTTTCTTCGTCAGTCACTCTAAGGAAGCTATTTACATCAGAGGCACGTACTGTCAGTGGGACGCAGACGGTTCTATCCGGCCGATCCGGTGAGACGGTCTGTAGCCAGTCAGAGAGAGCGCCGCCGTGGCCCTGTCCCATCACGTGACCCCCACTCTCTGTATATCTGCTAATAACCCTATCCCATCACGTGACATTCTCCCCGCGCCCCCGCCAGCTGCTGGATGCCGTCGGTCAGGTGCGGAAGGCGGTCGGATCCGATGTGGATCTCATCCCGGGCATGTCGCAGCTGGAGCTGAACGGTGAGCAGTGAGCACACCAGCACAGATACCCAGAGTTATCCAAACACCCATGTTAACCGCGGCGGTTACCATGGATGTGGTGGACAATGTGTGCTATTGTACGTATCATGTTAGCTGTGGGGCAGGTGTATGCATAATTCACATGACTCACGATAGCTGATATAATGTCCCCTCAAAGTTTTTTTTTTTGTGCGACTGTGGCTAATTTAGGTCTTGTGACTAGACAACCCGAGTAAAATGTGACTACCAAAAATGTAACTACGCATAAACGAAAAGTCTCCAAGCTTAAATTGACTCATTAATGTGTCATAGGCAATAAAGCATTGACTTGCTTGACTACATGCCAGTCCTGCGTAGTGTTCCGTGGACCCTTCCACGGGTAACAACTCCCTACCATGAGTGTGCTGTGCGCGGGGCGGGACCGTGTAACCAATACTGCCCCCTAGATGCCATCGGCCGCGACAAGCGTGACCGGGAGGAGGAGCTGGGTGCCCTCCTGGCAGAGATGGAGAAGGTGTCTCAGGCGGCCCACGCCGCGGAGCTGAGCGCCGCGCCGCCCCGCTCAGGTGACCCGGTGTGACCTCTGCGTGACCCGGTGTGACCCCAGCGTGACCCGGGCCTGATAACAGCAGACACTGGTGTGCTGTGAGCTGATGTAACGCAGCCTGCTCTGGTTTTGCCCCGCTGGCACCCTCGTTTTATTTAGCGTGAACCGATGTGTTCCAGCTTAGTGTTAGTTGATGTGCATTGTATGGAATGCTTGGTTTGATTATCTCGGTCACGTTCACAACTCTCCTTAACCCAAACAAGTTCAGCGGTTAAATGCTGGTTACATCGATATGCGATAATGTCTGTCGATCCCTATCACTGCCCATTTTATTTAGTTCTATTCATGACACGAACAAGTCATTTTTTGGCGCGTAGGAGACACTCGATTCATTTTTGACTGTCTAAATTTAATTAGAACGACCAAAACCATTTACGTCATAGCTTGGTAACACTATGGAATAATATTTTCCTATTCTGGCCTGTTATACATGTTCTTGGGGAGCCTTGAGCCATTTAAACAATGAATTGGTTTATTTTTGTTGGTCTAACCATTACTTTACATGTAATAGAACTCTTATCGATAGCTCGGTAGTTCTAATGACGCTTAGCAGTAATTTCATCGCATTAGAACGCTCTAAGTGCAGCTGTTGCTTTCTCTCACCTAAGGAATCGGCCGTTGTATTTGTAGTTATAAATGTATTATTTGTATCAGTTATGGGCTTCTGATGTTGTTTGATTTAGTTCGTTCTGTAGGTATTGCCGCATCATTGGTGGTTACGAGCGAGCGAGCGCAGCGAGCGAAGCGAAGTCTTTTCAATATAACGGAAAAAGCTCAGTATGAGCGGCCCGGCCCGGCCCGGCCCGGCCCGGCCTGTAACGCTTTTGAGAGGCTTATATCTCAGCAACCGCTGGACCGATTGGCCTGCGGTCTTTTTTGTTGGGTAGCCCCATCCCTTCTACCCCGTAATTGACTACTTTTGATACATCTCAGTGACCGCCGTGGCACGTGCCACGTGAAAAGTCAAGGGTGTTCAAGCAGTTTTGCAAAAGTAATGATTTTGAGAGGCCCATATCTCAGCAGCGGCTTGAGCGATTGTCTTGCGGTCATTTTTATAGGGTTGCTGCATCCCTTCTACCAAAGGTCGGATACTCTTCATCTATGTGAGTGACCCCCACTGCACGTGCAAAATACAACAATAAGAGGTGCCAAATTTGTTCCCATTTCAGTAACTCGGTAATTACTGGGGCGATTTCGCTGAAACTTGGCATACAGGTAGGCACCCACCAGGCAATGCATTCCCATGTGTTGCGGTTAGGGTGCTACTGCCCGTGCGCACGTGCAGGGGGCGTTTCCAGATCTCGAGAACGGCTGGGCCGATTGCGCTCAAATTTGGTACACGGTTGGGGACCGGTTAGTAGGGTGCCGTGCAAAAGTCATTTTGGACCCCGTTTGCACGTGCGCACGTGCAGAATGCCGCTTCCAGATCTCAGGAACGGCTGTGCCGATTGCGTTCAAATTTGGTACACCGCTAGCAACCGGTTAGAAGGGTGCTTTGCACAAGCCCGTTGGAAGTACCCTCTCGCCCTTCTGCACGTGCAGGGCTCACTATCTCGCTCGCTCGTTCTTCGCCCAAAAGGCGTTTTACTGGTTATAACAAGCATGTCTGTGTTGGCTGATTAACCGAAGGTTTGTTGTCAATAGTTAAAACACTATTCTTTAGAATTGTGTTTTTTCTATTGAAAAACAAATCTGAGTTCCCTGACAATTTGGCAAAAGCTGCCTGAGATCATATTCGTAAGTGTGGATAACTGAATTGTGTTTCCGTTAGCATGGCCTGTTGAGTGTTAATTAATAATTAATGACTGATGGATATTAATGTTCATTGTATCACAACTGTTTTAGGCGTGCGCTACCCACTTGCCGTTCAGTCCGATCGGTCGTCTGTCGACCTCTTTGAGCAAAGCGACTAACAGCACTGTTAGTCGCTGAGGTAACATGAATAGTTACCAGTATAGCGCTACCCAATACATAGCTTCGAGCACCATTAATTGCGGTGGTTTCCTATGACAAGGCCCTCCCGGCGGTAGTCGCTTGTCACTCGTATCATGAAGTTCACTCGTATCACTTCATCCCATGCTCATATTACCGATCCGGCCAACCTCGAGTGTTGCGGTACAGCCTAACTTCAGGCGCCGACTATGCCTGCCATCTAGCGGCGGGAATACAGTCATATGTTTGCCTTCTTGCCGCACTGGCGCTAGGTGTTGTTTTTCGCCACAGGAACAGTGCTTTGCGAGATTTCGAGTAGGTGAACCGAATTGGAGCGTCGAGCTGACTGATCTTTCGTAATTGTTTTGAGTCTATTACCCTATCTACAGAGCTCAGGGCTTCCAATGTTTATGGTCAGACGTTAGCGGACTGGCGTGCCCCAGCTCACAGCCCCCGACTGACGCTTGTCTTGTTACGAACAGGTGTATTGGCTCTTTGTGTCGCTGCCAACAATCCTGATTCGGTTTGGCGTTCGTCTTCGCAATTTGATGCCATACCGTGACCTCAGAGATGCGTCCCTTTCGTGGTGCCCGGCGCCATGTCCCTGACGTCCCGTCCCTCTGCCCTGCCCAGAGACGGCGCCGCCGCGGCCGCCGCTGCCGGCCGGCGGCCAGCCCCCGCCGCGCCCCCCGCCGCCGCCGGAGACCGATGACGAGGAGGACAGCCACGTGTTCCGGCACGCGCCGCCGGCCAACCAGCCCATCATGGCCGCCGCGCACGGACTCCATCAGGAGGTGGGGATGAGTGGGTCCTGGGCGAATAGCTACAGAGGAGCAGTGTCAGGTCCACGGGGAATTTGTTAAATCCACGGGAACTGTGTCATTGTCAACTTTGTCGAGGAGTGTGTGAAGCATTCCCTAATAGTGGAATCAAAGTGCAGCAGTTCTAAAACTGAACCTTTCCTCGCGCGGGTTCCCAGGTGGCTCAGTGGAGCAGCCGTGACAACGACATCATCGCTGCCGCCAAGCGTATGGCGCAGCTGATGGCGCGTCTCAGTCAGCTGGTGCGCGGCGAGGGCGGCGGCACCAAGCGAGACCTGATCGCCTGCGCCAAGGCCATCGCCGAGGCGTCGGAGGAGGTCACTCGACTGGCCAAGGAGCTCGGCCAGGAGTGCACCGACAAGAGGATGAGGACGGTGAGCCGCCGCCACGGGAGCGAAAAACGCTGACTGCTGAATCGATAGGGAATGTTTTATGTGGAAATGTGAGATGTGCAAGTCAATCCCTATGGTGGAATCCAAATCAACACTCATGATATGATGAGGATGACCGTCGATATGTGGCGATACGACTGTTTCCATCGCCCACTCTCCCTATGGTTGTTGAGACCATCCAGCAATCGTTGGACCACTGCAAACGTTTTGACGACCGCTGTGAATCCGTCCTCTCACCTGCCCGTACCGCACGCCGTTCGGTTCAAAGTTACTGCTCCAGGTGTGCTAGTGTATCCCGACTATCTGCAGCCCCTCTGCTCCCTCTCCCCTGCCGTTCGCCGTCTGACCGTCCCCCCACCTCTGTCCCCACAGCAACTGCTCCAGGTGTGCGAGCGTATCCCCACGATCGGCACCCAGCTGAAGATCCTCTCCACCGTCAAGGCCACCATGCTGGGAGCCCACGGTGAGTGGATTGATGTGCGGCGACCCACAGGGCTGGGAGGTCACAGGGCAGAACTGAGTGGATTGATCTGCGGCGACCCACAGGGCTGGGAGGTCACAGGGCAGAACAGCTGAGTGGTGCCAGGATGGGTGAGAGGGTGATAACTTAGGGATAGTTGAATTGTGATTAGCTGTCATGTCGATAAGGGATATCCGCACTAAGCTAGTCAATAGGGATTTAGTCCAGTTTCGTCTAGTCTTTAGTCCCTTTAGGGACCATTCAGGTTACCTTGGAGCTCGCTGGTCTGTCTAGTGTTTAAGAAAGTCCGTGATCGCGGCCAGTTTCCGTGCCTTTAGTCAACGAAGCCTATCAGCTCATGTGGGACGCGATCCCTCCATTCTGATGGGCTGTTCCGATGTGACGGCCGCCGTCTTGTGTTCCCGAAAACTACTGAGAATATATAGGTGGGACAAAGTCCGTGATCCATTTGAGTGCTGTCTTGGACCGACCTTTCGATATAGCCTGGTCTGACCGCTCTCCCGTGTCCCTCCTAGGAGCTGACAAGCTGGACAGGCGCGCTGATGGCATAGTGACCAGCGGTAACTCAAAACGATAACTACTAGTTTGACCACTAACCTAACCAGATAACCCCGCTTTTACCACTTCTAGCTGGCGTTGGACCTTCACATCTTAATCATATTATCTGCTGAGCGCCCCACCGCCTTTTACCGCTCCTTTAGTAGAAACTGGTGGATAGTGAGTAGTTAGCCGCTTTGGTGTCCCAGCGCGGATTTCGCTAACCCGGCTGTTTCTGCTTGTAGTTTACTGGCGGTGTGGTAATGCTTCCATTTCGGTGCGCTGACCAATGCGGTTTTATGAGCTTACTTACTTACGCCAAACATATTACTTTTTTCCTCTAAAATATCGGTGCCTTTGGAATCATTTCGATGCGGATCGTCGTGGCTGACATAAATGGTACTGCACCCAGAATGGGTCTACAACTGAGACAGGTAGGGAGTGCGCAAAAGTGTAGAAGAACTCGCTGATTTTCTGTCGTTTGTTGCATCTTTGCCAGCTGTGGGTGGGTTCACAGACACAGGGTTCGCCGCTGCCGGCGAACTGACTGACTGACTGACACACCCCGCGGCCGCCAGGTACGGAGGAGGACCAGGAGGCCACCGACATGCTGGTCGGTAACGCCCAGAACCTGATGCAGTCGGTGAAGGAGACGGTGCGCGCCGCCGAGGCGGCCAGCATCAAGATGAGAACGGACGCCGGCATCCAGCTGCGCTGGGTCCGCAAGTCGCCCTGGTATCAGTAGACGCCCATAACGCGCCGCGGACCGGCCGGTGACGTCACCACGGCCCGGCCGGCCGCCTGATGACGTCACTGACCGACTGTTGCAGAGGTTACAACTAGTCACGGCGGTGGCGCTGGAGGTCATTGGCCAGAGACGTGAAACGTCGAGTGTTGAGCAGCTCGACCTGCCTCCATACACTGCCCTTTACTGGATTTGTTTTGTGGAACATGTCATTAATCGCATGTTAATGTTTTAAAAAATTTATCAGATATGGCACAATATGCCATACCTAAGGTTGGCGTTATAACATAGCATAAATCAGGTCAGTAAAGTAATCGAGCTTACGTCGGAAGCGATTTCGCGATTTTAGGTCGCGCGTTTTGCGCCCTGCAACTGGTGTGCAATATGTGACAACTATCGAACAATTAATGCGGACAAGGTGTCAGAATGGTCGTGTTTACCGACTATTCGAGGCTATTTAACACAGTCACAAGAGAATGCAACTACTTAGATAACTGACCCTGTGTTGAATGGCCTGTCAATAACACTAATGTTGCTAATATCAGGGTTAAGCGGAGCGATTTGACGGTAATTACATTTGTTATAACGATGTAACACCGTGTTGTCGTCTGTTTATGCTGCCTTTTGAAGACTGGCCAGTGAAGTGGGCCGACCCGACCCCCAGTCATTTTACAGTTGTTTGTGAAAACAGCGCACTTTTTTCCCGCGCCAGTCCTAGTCTTTTGTCGCCTGCTGTACCTGTGAAGGAAAGCTGCCTTACGGGCGGGGTGCGCCCCCAGTCGCATGTGGTGCCTTCACCGTCCAGTGCCTATTGGTTTGTAATTCACCGGCCTGCCCGATACGTGTGGACTCGTCTGACGTCTGTAACAGTGCCGAGGCCGCGCCGAGCTCGGGTTCTCTCTGGCCCCGTGTCACCGCCCGTCTGACAATAAAACAGAACCTAACAACTGGCAGCTGGAAATCGGCGCCCAATAAAGGCTGACGACTATCTCCCGTCTGTCTCCTGTGCACCAGAGTGGTGCGGAGCAGTGATCCCTCTCAGACCGACTCTGTTCATTGCAGCAGCCTAAACGAAGTAGGATCGATCGGCTGGATGGTACTTTATTTATCCACAAATGGTACATCAATATATAAACAACAAATGGCGCGAACGGACGTCTCGCCGCCTGGCAGTGGTGGAGAGGTCAATGCGCTAAAATTCACGCCCCCATTTCGCCGTCCCGAATCACCGCACCGAGCTACGATTGCAACAAAAGAGCCGCGCGCCCGCCCTCCCGCCGCCGATGGATTTTGTACTGTTAGTAGACGTGTGTGTCGCGCGGCTGAGCAAACCAACCGATGGGCGCCGGCTCAGCGCGGCGGCCGGCAGATGATGTGCGCGCACCATCGAGTCTGGCCACACAACAGATGAAGCCCGCAATCGAGTCTGGCCACACAACAGCCGGTGAGACGCGGCGGACAGCGCGCCCTCGCCCTCTCCCCGGAGTCGGGGCAGGGCAGAGCCGGCGGTGCGCTTCTCTGACCCTGGCCGACCTCCGCTACTCGGCGCCGCCGGCGGAGTCGCCGCCCGTACCGAGACCGGGCGGCCGGCTCTCGACACTACACTCACCGACCGGGCGGTCCGGGACACACACACACGGTCGGCCACCGAGCGAGAGCCGCGCCCACGACACTACACCGACCGACCGGGCGGTCCGGGACACACACCGGTCGGCCACCGAGCGAGAGCCGCGCCCACGACACTACACCGCCGCCGGCCGCCCAAAACACGCCACGCCCGGGGACACGTCGAAAACCAACCGCTAATGCCGTATTTGAACCGAAAGTTGGCAACAGAGACAATGCCGCAGGTGGCGCTTCGCGAAGACCAGCGCCCAAATCAACAGCGTTGAGGTAACGAAAAACGAGGGGAGCGCGACACCGAGGTAAAAAACACTGCGAGCGCCGACATCCATCCACGCGCCGCCGACGCGCCCGCGACGAGCGGCGCGCACACTGGCTGCCAGTCAGACCCGCATATTCACCGGCCGCAATTCATGCGTCATATAATGCATCGTGCCTTGCATAACTTCATACAGTCGATTCGCACTGTACAGCATGCGTTCTGCCATTCTTCCGTCGCGCAGGGGCCGGGCTGCCGGCCGGTGCGACCGGACGCCGGCCGGCCGGCCGACCGCACCAGTAACAGAGTGGCAGTGAGTAGCGGGCGGCCGCGGCTCCGTCCCCGCGGACAGATAGACCCGCCCGGGGACCGCGCCACCGCCCGACCGAGCAGACCACTGGCGCGCGGACCCAAACAGCTCGGTCCGCTTATTTCCGAGCGGGACCAGCCCGAGTCGCACGCCCTTGGCGAGGTGGTCCACCGGCGTGGTTCCACACCTTATTCATCGTTGATACGTACCGCGCAGAAGAGTGGCGTCAGCCGTCCCATAGCCGGGGAGGTTCACTGCGCCGGCCGGCCGCTGGAGATACCTGGACAAAGATGAAAAGGAAACATTAGGCGGACTGAAAACCTCGTCAAATTAAATAATGGTGCAATAACTATCCCAATGTTACCAGCTGTAACCGCAACCCCACCCAGGAACTGAGGAACACCATCCGGATAGCCCGCCGCCGCCGCGCCGTGCCCTGTCCCGCCCCTAGCACTCACCGTCCGCGCGGCTGACGTGCGGCAGCTCGGCGCCCAGCTGTGAGCCGAAGCTGGGCAGCGGCGCCATGGTGGGCAGCGTCACCGAGTGGCCGCCGCCGCCGGCGGCGCCCGGCCGCGGCCAGTAGCGGCTCTGGCAGTGCGGAAACTTCTTACGGAAGTGGTGGTCGTACTGGTGCGAGTCGTCCTCCCCGCCGCCGCCGGCAGACGGCAGCTCGGGCGTCTCGGCGCGGCTCGGCAGCGAGCGTTTGAACTTGAGCGCCATGGTGAGGTCGTGGCCGGCCGAGGACGAGGCGGTCGCCGCCGACACCGAGGGCGCGGCGCGCGGCGGCGACAGGGCCGTCGAGCGCGGCGACACGCCCGCAGAGCGCGGCGACGCGCCGTCCGTCGACTTGCGCCGCTTGATCTCGTCGGCCACGGCGAAGATGCGCTCAAAGTCCATGTTGATGTCCTTTTGCGCGGCGCTCGGCGACTGGGAGCGGTCTGCGAGCGGGGAGACACGGCGGGGGTCAGCGCTAAACGCCGGTAACACAGGCGAGTCAGACGACAGCAGAGAACATAAGACCTCCAAAATTCAACATGACATTTCACAGATCTTATCAGTGATATTCCACACGCCGAAGCCAGATTTAAAGAAATTGAGCATTCTACAATCTACCGCATTAATTTTCTACCGTAAGAGTATACGATATCCCGTGATATATCGCAGTAGTGATGCGTACCTGAGTCGTGCGGCCGGTGGTGGGCGCCGGGCGCGGACCGCTCCTCTGGCCGGCCCCGTTTGCCGGCCGACGGGCCCGGCTCCGGGGTGCTGGGCGCGCCGGCCGGCCGCTTCACGCCGCTCGGCTCGTCCCGCACGTACCGGGCATGCAGCGAGGCGGCCAGGCCCTCCATGGGCAGGCCGGCCAGGCCGTCCGGCAGGGCGGCGCTGGACACGGCCGCCGCGGCCGCCGGCGGGCCGGACGGCGGCCGGGCGCGCGGCAGGTAGGCCGCCGGGGAGGGCGCCGACGGCGCCGCCGGCGAGGCGCGGCTCAGCTCGCGGAAGTGGGCCGGGTCGGCCAGGCCCTCCAGCTGCACAGAGGCGGCCTCGGTGCTGCCCGGTCGCGAGATGGGCGAGTAGGCCGGCGGCGCTACGACGCGGCGCTGCTCGACCGGCGGCCGGCCGGCGCCGGTGCCGCGCACACCCTCCTCGATGGCGCGCGAGGTGAGTGTGCCCACCGCCGGCCCACCGCCGCCGCCACCGCCGAAGCTCATGTCGACGGCGGCGTCGATGATGCTGCGCTGCGAGACGTGGACAGGCGGCTCGGCCTCCGAGCCCAGCCGCTCCTGGGAGAGGTGGCGGCGCAGCGCCAGCTTGGCAGGCGAGAACTGCGTGTAGTCGGGCAGGTGAGCGGCCGCCGGCAGACGGCCGAACGGCCGCGGGCCGCCCTCGTCGGTCGCCGCCGCGCCGCCGCGGTAGCCGCCCTCCTCGGCCGGCTTGTCCTCGTTCAGGAAGCAGGTGATCATGCTCTTGAGCCGGTCCTCGAAGTTGTTGACCTTGGGCGGCTCGTGGACGCGCTGTGGCGGCGGGCCGCGCCGCTCTGGCTCGCGGCGGGCCGGCGGCGCGGCCGGCGCGCGCGGCACCTCCTGGACCGGCACCGGCGAGCTGCGGATCACTGGGATCTTGCCGGCCTCGATCTGGCGGCCCGTCTCCAGGATCTTGCGCGCCAGCAGCTCGGGGTTCTTCTCGTGGATTTTGCCGATGTCTGGCACCTTGGGCCACTCCTGGTTCCGGCTCTTGTGGCGCGCCTTCTGACCGCCGTGGCCGGCGGCGGCTGACACGGGCGGCGCCAGCGCCTGGTGCTGGGCCGCGGGCGGCGTGGCGGCCAGCTGCAGCTGCTGCTGCTGGGCGGCAGCGGCCGCGGCGGCCTGCTTCTCGGCGGCGGCGCGCTCCAGCATCTGCACCTCGGTCTCCAGCTGGCGGATCTCGCCCTGCACCCGGCGCCGGGCGGCAAACGTGCGCGATATCTCCTGCATCACCATCTCCTGGGTGACGGCGCCCTGCCGGCCACACCGTCAGTCATACGGGGCGGACCGTCAGACTACATACGGCGGGACATTGGACAAGAACCACTGTACAAACTCCTGCGGTATCATGGACACTTCGCATCTTCATATTAATCGTCAGATAGTAATCATCCCTCAGAAAACTTCGAATTCAGAAATCGGTGCCAAGACAACTACCCGTACACAACTCAATGAAAAATCTAGCCGTTCTACGCCAAATTCAGCCGTGTGCACATTTTCCTACCGGGCGGTAGAGGTCAGGACCTGCGCAACAAGCACTGCTTACTGCTGTGGGTTCTGAAATGGCTTATATTCTATGTCTCCATTAAAAAGTATGACTTTTTTCCAATGCTAAGGAAGACTGGGATATGCAATAAGCAGGGCATTCTTGAGAATCGGAATATGTAGATTTCCTTTGCTCCGTCCTTCAATCAAATGAACAATCGCCCGGGTAGAAAGTGAGCATTCCACCTACGACGCAGAGCCTGCTGGTAGTCCCAGGGTGAATTTCAAAGCAATATCTATATGCCACCGGGCTACCAGGCTCAATATGCATCAAGTTCACTCGTTAGTAAACCAAACATAGGCAACAGACGACGCATAATACGGTCATTTCCAAAGTAGTTACATACTGCACAAACAGTGCACGCGGACGCAGCCGGTAAAAGCAAGCAAACTAGCTGTTCCGTCAACAACCAGAACCGAACACGGCATCCGTTTATGTTCCACTCCACTGACTTTTAGTGCTCAACTCAATTATAGCCGGCGGTTGTAGCGCTGGCGTATTATCATCGAATACGTCCTGTAATCATCGCTGTATGCATCCCTGTAAGCATCACACAATTCGCGGAATCACTTTGGGTGGGCGACTTATAACACTTACTAATTACTATAATGTGCGATTTATTTTTTGTCGATTTATCTGTAAAACACCTTTGATGGCCTCTACTAGACATCATCTTTCTATTCATATCCCTCTCATGAAGCACATGTGGCGTAGTAAGAGAAGATAAGAAGATGTTGGTTCATCTGATCGCCCTAACCCTGGATGCCTATCTCGTATCTTCCTGAGTGAACCGATTGGTTCAATGGTCTGCCGCCGCGTGTCAATTAGTAAACGAGCTGACAATAGTTCCGTGGGGTCTGTTACTCGTCTCGTTTGGCGTTAATACGGGTCAGGTCTGAGCTAGCCCACATATGGACGAGGTTCATCCCCCTTCCAATCAGCACAAACATTAACTAGTCCGGTCCGGTCTGAAATAAGTAGCTGATTTTAGCGTCATTGTAGCCATGTTTGAACTGTTCAGTTATCGAACAGACAAAATGTATACTTAGCTTATCTAGCTAGCAATCGATGCGTAGTCCCTTCCAAGTTGAAGCAAAGACCGAAGCAGCATCGCTACGTCACTGTTGGCTCGGCGTCTCTCTCGCAGACAGCGTCCACCACGGATCATCAGCCCGCACCGAAGCCAGCCACCATCACAGACACAGCCCAAACCGTCACCAAAGCTGCTCAGAGTCAGGTCAGCGGGGAGACCAATACCTCAACACGGCACTAACACGAACAAAACAGAACGCAACAAAACAAAAACAGCGTACAGTCAAAATGTATTAAAATGCCAGTCGAATTGTGCATGCAAGAGGGTGCAAAAGCATCAGACGCGCAAAGGAAAAAGCTGGTGACAGAAGCGTGCGTGAATTAGTTCAGTGGCTTGAGTGCAAAAGGAGTGCGCCGACAAGCAGAAAGGTGACAGAACCAAATGCATAAATTAAAGAAACAAAGCCAAGACAGGTTTCATTTAATCGACAACTGTGCTGACGCGATGAATGCGCTGGAAGTGATAAACAAAACATCAGAAAAACGTCTTCTTTGTACTAGCTGCTGGCTGTACAAAAAAAAACTTAGCCAATGTCATCTGTCAGCTAAGACTGGCGCGGTCTCAAAGTTCAGTATCAGGGACAAGGCTTCGAACCAGAGGGGGTCGATAAAATTGTTCGTTGTCGGTACTTGAATGACATGTCCCATTGGTCGATGAAAGACTCGGGAAAGCACAAATGGGGTACAGGTTCATGGCTAAAAACGTACATCGTGGCTACATATTTCGTCTACTTCAATGGCACATGCGGTAAGCAAGAGTGCATCCCTTCTACCCGTACTCGGTTTGTATGTCAGGCGGCTCGCGATCTAGCGCTACCCCTCGCTACCCCGATGCAGCGCCGGAGCGGAGCCCAAAGCGTCCCCTCCCGGTCCTCCAGCCACCGTCAGTGCTCGGCCCCGGTTAGTGCGCGCTTTAGGCCACGTACTTCCTTGCCGGCCGGCGGCGGCGGCTGCTGCGGCAGAGCAGGCGGCGGCGGCGGCGGCCGCTCCACCTCCGGCTGAGACGGGTAGCGCTGCCGCTGCTGCTGCTGCAGGAGCAACTGCTGCTGCTGCTGCTGCTGCTGCTGCTGCTGTTGTTGTTGGAGCTGAATCTGCTGCTGCTGATGGTGTTCCATGGTGGCGACCTGGCGAACACGGGTAAAAACACACGAATACTATTAAAACAACAGTCATGAACACTCACAGAAACTCACTCACGACGTGTATATGTCTACACTTACCAAATGAGCTAAATCCGGCAACCTTCCCCTTCCCTACCCCCAGTACAACGGCAGCGTCACTGCCATCCACCACTGCCTCATAGCGACCCGCGGCGGCGCCTACCTCGGACTCCATGGCGGCGGTGCGCTCCTGCAGCTCGCGGTGCTTCATCACAATCTCCTTGGCCTTCACAATCAGCTCCTCGGGCTTGTTGGCCTCGATGCCGAGCTCGGCGATGCGCTGCTTCAGGAAGCCGAGGCTCTCGGCCTTCAGGTGGTCGATCTGGGCCTCCAACTGGCTGGTGCGGCCCTTCAGCTCGCGCTGCCGCACCTATAGGGCACGGAGACGGCGCGGCGTCAGTGCACTGTTCGCGGCGGGCGGGAGTCTGACAGGATATTGTTATACACACGGCGGTGAGGCCAGCACGCGGCTAGAATGAGCTGGAAAGAGTCTAACATAACGCTACAGTGTAAAAGGAAAGCTCGAGAATTATTCATTTAGACATGCGAGGTGCTAGACGCCACCAAAATTGTAAAGCTACGCCAGGTACTTTATGGATCGTGTGAGATTACATGGTACACCGAGAGAAACATGCCACAGTTGCACCATCTCTCTCCTCTCCCGTTCGCACTGACCCGCTCCTGTTCGATGTCCCTCTCGACGGATAGCCGGAACTCGTGTGTCTGCATGTGTTTGATGAACTGCATGTACTGCTGTCGGATGCTGTCGAGCAGCAGCTGCAGGCCGTAGGGCACCTCGCCAGCGGTGATCTCGGGCGGCAGCTCGTCGTGGCTGAGCACGGCGCCCACCGCCACCGAGGAGAGCTTCTGGTCCACCGTGCCGGGCGCCACCTGCTCCGGCGCCGTCACTGAGCGGAAACAGGAGGGACGGTCAACGACCAGGTCGGTGGAACGACAGCGAGAGTGGGGCATCCACAGCCAGATCAAACACTCTACTCAGCCCATTCGCACGACTTCAGCGCCACGAGTGACGGGCCGGGCGTACTCACCGAGACTGGTGGTGCTGCGCAGTGTCTCGTCGTGCAGCACATCCAGCCCGGAGATGTTGTACTTGCGCTTCCGGCCGGGCTTCTTGCCTTTGCCGGGAGCGGCTCGCTTGAGCGGCACAGTCGGCATGACGGCGGCAGCTGCGGCGGCTGCGGCCGCAGAGGCGGCGGCCGCTGCAGCCGCGGCGCGTACCTGCGGCCTCGCGCGCGGCAGCTTCCTGGTCAGCCGCCGCTTCGGCTTCCTTTCCTTAGCTGCGGCGCGAGCGGCAGGTGAACAGAGGTCAAACACGGCACGGGGCAGACAATCAGACAGCAATACAAGAGAGAATAATAACAATTATCTGATCATAGCATCGTTAGCTAAGCGGGCAACTGTTGTAATAGGCATGACAGTTGATAATTTATGTACAAAGTCGAAAAATACATATTCGGGACGCATTCACAAGCTAAGCCCGAAAACTAGAAAAAATATTTGATTTGTTCAGAGTAAAAAAGTTGTTAATTCATGCTGTTCTCTACATCACACACATAGAGGAGAGGGGTGACTGTTACGTCTGCCCGGTGCTCGCGGCAGACTGAGCGGGCCGGGCCGTCAAACCTGGATGCACGGTCACGGCCGTCGCCGCCGCTGCCATGCACTAAGAGGTGCCGCCGCGGCGCGCCTCGGCCACGCAGCTCTCCGGGCGCCGCCGCCGCCGCCGCCGCCTCCTCGGGCCGGCCGCGCTGCGCCGCTACGGGCACGGGTCAGAGAGCAGGCAGACGGACCGACGGGCCGCCGCCGGCCGGACGGACGGACGGACACGGGACGGCCGCCACGCGCGGCGTAGGGGCCGTGTGCAGACCGAACTGAGAGAGCAAACCACAGAGACAGACGGGAGGCGTCTAGCTACGGCCGGCCGTGGCGGCCCGTCATGCACACCGTCCCTACACTCACCGGGCGGGCGCGTGCGGCCCGGCCGGCCGTCCTGCTCCGCCTCCTCGGCCGCGTCCGTCTCAGAGGCCGCGCGCGCCGGGGAGCCGAGCTCGGCCGCCGCCGCTGGCTCCGGCTCCGGGTCCGGCTCCGGAGGCGGCAGCGAGCGCGGCGGCGGCGGCCGCGCCGGCGGCGGAGAGGTGGGCGCTGAGCTGCTGCAGCTGACCGCCGAGCCCGGGTGGCGCGACACCCACGAGGTCCAGGCGCGCCGCGTGGTCGGCCCGGCCGGCGGCGGCGGCGGCGGCGGCGGCGCCGGCGGCTCGTCGTCACACCTACCAGCGTCGCGGGCGTCCGAGTCGCCGCCACTGCTCGAGTCGATTAGCAGAGACTTGGTGTCGGAGCGGCGGCTGGTCGAGCGGCTGCTGCGGCCCGACGAGCCGCCAGAGTCGTCGTCCTGCAGGCCGCACAGCCAACGGATAAGTCGACGGAAACAGTGCAAACTAACGGAAACGCCCGTAAGTTTGAATAGCACACAATACAGAAACCGAGGTCATCAATATAGAAACTTCGTAGGCGGGATGCTGAGACGCTTCAGCACACTGCCTATATCTTACCCGTGTGAGTGGGTTTTTGAGTTTGGAGAAGTAGCGCTCCAGCTTGGTCCTGTCGATCTCATGCATGAAGTAGGAGACGGGTTTTCCGGTCCACGAGACAGAGCCGTGCAGCGGGTCCAGTTCGGTAACGTGCATAATCGTACCGATATCTGCCCGAGGACGGCACGGAGAACGGTCATCAACAACATCGACACTGAATGACAGAAGCCAGTTCGTGACATGTCAGAGGTTTGTTATAGCTTCGGGCCACGTAATACTCAGTTCCTGGCAGACACATAACAAATAAATTACATTGTAGTTGCTTCATTGATTAAGACAGCCAAGCTGTCACCAGTTTCTTTGCAAAGTGCAATGCGGTAGGTGTCTGTCTCAGAAGCTGGTGACATTTTATTGAAATATAGTGAACAGCGTTGACATACAGCTGATCCATCCCTCACTCACCGCTGAGGTTTCGGTCGGACATGCGGAAGTTCTGCGGACAGAACGCCTTGGAGGAGACGATGCGCGCGCCGTCCTTCAGGTCCTGGAAGATGGTCTTCAGGTGGTGGTCGACGGTGGGGCCGAACGCGAAGTTGTTGACGAACACCAGGTTGGCGGAGGTGATCTTCTCGCGGTGCTCCGGCTTCAGGAAGTCGCCCTCGATCAGCTGGTACTCGCTGTGCTTCTTGCCGTACCAGCGCATCCACCGACGAAAGTTCTTATCCAGTTCCTGACAGACCCAACGGTTACTATGTAAAGATCCACTAACACGATATTATGATGCCTAATGAACTTACAGACTGGTAAATTACAATAGGATGTTTGATTATCGAATTCCCAACCCCCGCTCACCCTGGCGTATCACGGCATCTTGGCCAAACCCTTGCTCACCTTGGCATTTCACTGTATCTCGGCCTAGCTCCCGCTCACCTTGGCGCATCGGTACGGCGTCCTGGCCCAACTGGCACTCACCTTGGCGTATCGGCAGGGCGTCTCGGCCTTCTCGATGCCGACGCAGAGCCGACACTCGGTGGCGGCGGCCATCTGGAGCACCACCTGGCCCACGCCCGAGCCCAGGTCGATGAACACATCCGACTCGGTCAGTGGACGCTGCTCGATCATCTGACAGATCAGATCGAACGACGTCTCGCCGTACACCTGGCGCACAGGGGGGCAGGTCAGGTCAGGTCAGATCGAACGAAGTCTCATCGTACACCTGGCGCACAGGGGGGCAGGTCAGGTCAGGTCAGATCGAACGAAGTCTCACCGTACACCTGGCACACAGGGGGGCAGGGCAGGTCAGGTCAGGTCGAACGACGTCTCACCGTACACCTGGCGCACAGGGGGCAGGTCAGGTCAGGTCGAACGACGTCTCGCCGTACATCTGGCACCAGGGGCAGGACAGGGCAGTTTGGTATTGCAAAGATCCCTGGATGACTCAGGCTACATCAAGTACACATATATTAATTGTCCACATTCATGAGAACTAATTACATCAAAATCAGTTTCATAACAATCAGCAGTGGCATCCTCATCAACACAACAGAAACTGATAGAGTCATAACTCCATTGAACATGAACATCACTGCTGAGGAGAGAGCAAGAGAGGAGAGCAGAGTTGAGGAGAGGTAGGCGGGTACGGTCACCGGACGAGGGTATGGTCACTCGCCAGGCACTGGACGAGGGTAGGATTGCTGGTACCCGCCGGACGAAGGTACGGTCACTAAACGAAGGTACGATCACCGATACCCCACCGGACGAGGGTCGGACACCGGACGCGGGTACGGTCCCCGGTAACACACTGTACGAGTGTATGGTCACAGGTGTTCCGCCGGACGCGGGTACGGTCCCCGGTAACACACTGTACGAGTGTATGGTCACAGGTGTTCCGCCGGACGAGGATACGGTCCCCGGTAACACACGGCGCAGCACCCACGCGGCTCACCTCTGGCGAGAAGGGCTCGTACTGATTCAGCCGGTCGGGGTCCTCCACCGCCTGGTTATACACCTGCTGGATGATGTGCCGCAGCAGAGCCATCCCCGGGCGCTTGTTAAGCCGCTGGGCCGGCCGCGATGTGCCGCGCTCCTATGGGGGGGGGGGGGGGAGGGCGGGCAAGCAACTGTCACTACACTGGCCCATAGTGGACGGGGCTACACCAATGGCGCTCATAATGTACACTGGAGTTTCATAAGTACCCACTGGCAAAACAATTAGTGACTGATGATCAGATGCAAGATGAAGGTGATCATAACTGCATGGTGGTGTTTGATTCCTAGCATTCTGTTTTATGAATTATGTAATGTGTTGATTGCTGACAACAATGAACATAAGTTCATGGACTGATTGTCTGATGTAAACATATACACTCATGCATACACTCAGGATGGCCTCACAAAAGTCTCACAAAAGATGTATGGCAGGCAATCTAGATGTTGCCTGCTGGAATAGAAAGTCAGCAAAAAGATGGTATACAGTATAACAACTTTTTAACAGATCAAGGTGCAAAACACCTTTTAAAAGCAAATACCTATTTTATATATTAAACAATTGGACAGTAGTATTCAACACTGATAAATCAGAATCAGAAATACCTTAGAGCAGCAAGGGAAGAAAAAAAATCCTAAATAAGAATAGTCATGATACATACCAGTTGAAGTATGCTATCAATTGCTCTATTGTATCGATCACATAATAGTTTCATGCTTTCATAACTGAAAGAAGAGAACAAACAGTCAGGCACACAACACCCATGATATGTACTAATTATGGAATCATGTACCTACATTGTTCAAGGAAAAGGCTATTGTCAATGGAGCTCAAATTCAATACCTATCAGCTGTAATTTTGACTTAATAATTCATCATCATCTATAATTTAACAAAAAACTTATATGTGAGCAAATAGATAAGCAAGTTAATTCTACAAACTGCTGCTTCACTGATGACACAACTTACCTTTTGGTGTTATGACCATTCAGAACATTCATTTCCATAGCCATTTGTAGCTCAGGAATGTCATTACATACAAATCTGGAACAGCAAACATAGTAAATCAGCAGCTTTGGAAAGGAATCAAACCTATTTACTACAATCTGCAACAATATAAATATCAACAAAGATAGGCTTCTAATTGATTACTGAATAAGTAACACATTTTAATCTTAATTTACCAATGCTTCTGTACATTTCCTTAATTTTCACTTCCTTAATACTGTTTTGAATGAAAAATGGGGGCAGATGAAAAACTGACAGATCCCAATGTGCTAAGATCAAAGATGTGAAAGACCTCACACCAGCAATAGGAATGTCTAGAACTCAGGTGAAGCTGCATTCACACTAAGAATATAATTGACTTTACTTCCTTTGGGCAATCCAATCAACCACATACCTGATGGTCTCAACAATCTCCATTGCTCCATCATGCTCCTTCCCTTTCTTCTGCAATATAAGAGCAACAGTTGAAATTTCAGAATGATGAAAGCCCAAGCAGGGATCTCTGGCTTTGGGACTACCATGTGCCAAATGTTAAGCAGGGCACAATGCTTAAATACCAAAAGAATCTAATGTAATGCTATTTGTACCTCCTACTAGTTACTACATAACTTTAAAGGCGATTCACAAATGTGCAATCACATATTAACCAAATAACACAGGCCAGTAGGCGGAACTATGGTCATGAGTACCCAAATATAGGAACGTTCCCATTTTTGGGAACGGAGTTCCCAAATATGGGAACGGGCGTTCCCATTTATGAGAACGGAAGGCAATTTTTCGGCCGTTCTCCTACTAAAACTCAAAAGTGCATCACGTCTCAAAAAAGTGCACGCTGATTTAAGTATCTACTAAATCTTCATAAAGTTATCTTTAATCTGACCGTGGAACAAGGAAATTGACCGTGGAATGATATTTTTAATGATTTTTTGAAAATGACAGAATGGTGGAAATATGGGTTATACGACATTTAACATGCAATTTTAAGGAAAATGAAGCATTTTTTAGTTTGAGGTAAAGTATAATAATTTTCGCCTGGTTATGAACTTTCATACTATCGACACCAGATGCTGACAAATGCAAGCGAAGACGCGGACGGTCCCGAGGTAATATTGTTGACTTTTGTGTCGGGGCGGACGACCGCGTGGAACGTGAGTGAATTTACCGAGCTACTGTTGTAAACTCAGTTTAAGCGGTTGAAAATTATCCAGCTGTATTTTATCATCCCGGAAAGGCATATTTTATTTGGATGCTAGCTGTTTAGAGTTGTTTTATAAGGAGCGTCATGAGCGTGGTTTTTGTCTTCCGTGTTTCTAAGCGTGATCGTTTTGGGGGAATTTCTCTTATAGGGTGTTCACTAAAAAATGGGACAATATTCTGTGCGCTCTCAGTTGAAAGTGCGTTTGGATAGATTACTGCATTTTAGTGCACGTGGAAAATACAACATTTTTAACACATGACCGCGCTTGAATTCATTTTTGATCAGCCCCCAGACAAAATGGACGGGTTAACAGGCAGACAGCGAAGGGAGCTCATTGGCACCTTTTATAAAGAGCACTGGTCCAAAGGGAAGTCATTTACTTACAAACACTTCCAAAAGATGGGAATTTCGAAAACAACACTGTATCGCGTCATGGAAAAGCTTGATATAGCCGGGACTCCCTTAGCAGGAAGCCGGGAAGTGGTCGGACGGCGAAAAAAATGACCCCAAAAGAGATCTTAAACCTACAAAGGTACATGAAGGAACATATCGGCGCCTCACAGCGAAAGGCTGCACGGAAGTTTGGTGTAAGCCTCAGCTACATCAGCAAAGTACTTAGCACTAAGACGAAGTTACGCTACAGACGCCGAAAGCGTGTTCCGGCGGCCACAGAGGACCAAAAAATAAAGCAGAAGATCAGGTGTGGCAAGCTTCGAAGGAGCGCTATGAAGCCCACCAACAAAACTCAAATTATCATGGACGATGAGTCATATTTCCCTATGAAAGGTCACAGTCAGCCGGGAAATGTTGGATTTTATACAGATGATGCATCTGGAGCCGGGGATGGTGTGCGGTTCGCCACAGTGGAGAAGTTCACGCCAAAAGTCATGGTTTGGGTGGCCTTTTCTGAACACGGGCTGAGCAAGCCCTTCATCATGGAGAGTGGTGCAATGAACGCCTACATCTACCGCACCCAGTGCCTACCGAGGCTCAAGGAGTTTGTAGATGCCAACTACCGTGGTAAAAAGGTTATTTTCTGGCCAGATCTCGCTCCGGCGCACTACCAGAAGGACGTCCTTGCCACCCTCGAAGAGCTGAAAATACCTGTTGTGGCTAAGGAGGATAACCCACCAGCGGCACCACAAATCCGCCCCATCGAACGACTTTGGGCTCTCCTGAAGTCACGTGTGTACGCTGGTGGTTATGAAGCAGAGACCAAGAAGCAGCTGACCAAGCGAATCCGCCGCCAAATGGCTGCCATTACGGCAGACACGTGCCAAAAGCTATGGAGGCGCACGCGGACAAAGATCCGCTTTGTGGCAGACAAGGGGAACACAGGCCTTCGAGAGCTGTAGAGTTCGAAAGAGGAGAAGAAGGATAATGTAGTGGTGCTGAACTTGTTTCACTGGCGTGATTTTTTCACGAAATACACACGAAACAAATTTGTCCCATTTTTTAGTGAACACTCGGTATATAGCTCGCTCTGTGTGGCTTATTTATAATTTTTATGCTGATTTCGATAATTCCTCGTGCCCATCCTACCAGGCCTTTTGCCACTTACACTCATCAAGAAAGGAAAAAACTAGATTTTCATTGGGACTAGGTGTTTTGAGGGTGTAACATATTCAGCGTTCCCATTTTTGGATACTTCCTTGCACTCGTCAACTATCGGTGATAAACAGACAGGTGCTTGACATGTCTCCACCCTCAGCGCGGACGGTGGATATAGGTATGGAAGACCTTGTTGAACATCGCTGAGCGTTGTGAATTACGTAATCCTGCAGAGGGGGGCGTGCCCGCTGCGAGATCGACGGGAATAAAAGCGCAGAAGACCGGGCGAAACATGCGACGGTCTTGCCGGAAAGGTCATCTGATGATTGTTGCGTTAACAATAATTTGCGGCGTTGGACGTGATGCTTGTTAATGAAAAGAGCCCCTAAAAGGCGTCGGTGAAATCGTTCCCAATTTTGGGTACGCCGTTCCCATAATAAGGAACGCTTGCAGCGCCAGTGTACGAGAGCGTTCCCAAATTTGGGCTCGCGCCCCGGATGATGGACTGCTTTAGAAATAGGGGAACAATTTGAAACTACGATGGGCCTTACAATATCAAACTCTTTCCCAACAATATTGAGACAAATATCAGGCGGTTCACGATCGTTTTATATTTTTTGGACGTCATTTAACGGTTCTTTTTCTTGTTTTAAATAATGCCTACATGGCGTTCCCATATTTGGGTTTATCGTTCCCAAACATGGGAACGAAAATGCGTTCCAGAAAATGGGTACGCTTGACCATAGTTCCGCCTACTGAGGCAGGATTCTCCTGTGGCAATGTTTGAACAACATAAAATAAATTGTTAAGATACTTAAACACTGGATAGCCAGTTAGCATGGCAGCATAATAGACAGGACCATCAAGAAACATTGGTAAGTTATTGCATAGCAATCATTGTTCTAAAAATTGTCAAAATGGTTCAATGGGGAGAGCTGAATTCATAACCACCTTGCATCACAGTTTGTATTGTGGGACAACAGGACAGAGGCCCACCAACTTGTACGTCAACAGTAAAATTGCAAACTTGACATACCTACCTACCAAGTGACAGGCAGATGGTATGTTTAAATAACAATACATAAAGCTCAACATCACAAAGAAAATTAGTATTTTTTCTTAATTTCATCATGAATATATAACATAGCTACTCAAAAAGAAATCAACTATCAATTAAAAACTGAAAACTGATTCCCAAAAACATGATTAAGTGGGCACATTTATCAGCCAACTGCACTACCTAGTACCTACCCTGACCCCTGAGGGGTGTTCACGGGCACCGCACACTGCTGCGTGCGGTGTGTGCGGTACGTCCAGCAGGCGTGGGGGTAGGGGATGGGTAGGCGGCTCTGACGTCACGGCTGCGTGCGGTGGACGGTCCGCTGTGGCCAGTCCCGACCGGCCACAGCGGTCGCTGTGTGCGGTGACGCAAGGCTGACGTAGGGACGCAGTGGGCGGAGCTTGGAGGCTGTGTGCGGTCCGACCGCACACAGGGTCCGTGAACAGCCCTCTGCACGGGGGTGAACTTCGACTTACCGTTGTACTTGTGGGTAAAGGCCAGGTAAATATAGCTGGCTCCGCTCCAGCAGGGCTATGGAGCTTCAGCTCCAGCCCAGACTCTGGCATTTTCATCTACTCAAGCTTGATATAAAACTGTGGCACTCAGCTTCAATCACGTTTACAGTAAAAACATCCATAGGCTATTGCACATCGACATAGAAACATGCCCTGCCACTAAATGACCATGAGCCACATGTTTCGTATGCTTTCTTATATGCACCTGTACCACATAAAGAAATTCAATCTTTCTCGTCCCCGATTCACCCAATCACACGGACAATGAACGATGACTGATGACGAAACAAGCGGATAAGCGGATAAGCGTGAAGACGGAGCCGAGATGAGTGGGAAGCGGACGCCATTGTTAGGGGAAAATCGCTACCAGATCTACAAATAATCAAAGTCATTTCGTTTTTTACTGTAGATGAGTTCATAGCTTATTGTCAGAACAGTCTGATACTTTTGATGAGGAAAGAAATTGACGCTGGTTTTGCATTTACACATTCAAAATTATATTCAGATTTGTGATTGAGAAAGTATTTTTCTTGATCGTAAAGAAAAGAGGGAAAAAGAAGCAAAAATTGACAAAGGCTGCTAAGAGCAAAAATATTGTAGATTAATTAAAAATTGAGAGAAATCTTATCTTCTAGCTGTTCCCTCAGGATGAGGAAAAATATTCAACGAATAATATAAAAGGAGTCTTTGTTTTACACTATTTTCAATGATTTCAACCAAGATTTCAACGAAACAAGAAAGTAAACATGTTCAGTTTGTGTCCTTTATAATGCTATCGAGCATAGGTTGAGCACGAATTCACCAATCATAGATTACTCAACAGTCATCCTCTGTTGCAATTGGTGCGTTGTAGCGAAAGCGACTTCAAGAGGTTTCTGCTGAAAATCAGTAGTGCGCAGTATACGTCAAATTTTGGCTCGAAACCTCGAAACGTTTGAGACGGCGCGTGTGGTGCGGGCACGTGTGAGGGTAACGTTAAATAATTACCCACGCCAACGTTATTAGTGTGATACGTTCTGAGATTTTTGCCCAAGATTTTCACGTCCTTATCAAGAACCCAGGATGTCGATTGGTGTTCCCATAAAAGTTCTTCATGAGGCTGAAGGTCACATCGTCACGTTGGAGAGCAATACCGGCGAAGTTTACCGAGGGAAGTTGATCGAAGCCGAAGACAATATGAACTGTCAAATGTCCAATATTACAGTCACCTATCGAGATGGGAGAGTCGCCCAACTAGAGAACATTTACATCAGAGGGTCCAAAGTTCGGTTTCTTATCTTACCTGACATGCTGAAGAATGCTCCAATGTTCAAGAACTTCAAGGTTAGTTAGTAGGTGCTGAAGGGAGGATTCATATACTTTTATGATGATGTACCTATGATGAAAGAAGCCATAGGAAGAAGCAGTTAAATTGTTGTTCAATGTCAAGCTAATTGCTCGGAAACGGAAATGCTGATGCTTGTTGTGATGGCTCGTGCAGTGTGCTAAACCCCTGCGGGCTGTCCATGAGACTTAGTTGAAATTATAATGTCTTGTGTAACAGGCTGTCAAGTATGGCAATGAAAAATAGGTACCAGTATCTATGGTACCAGACTTAATTTTATGGCATACCTATGAATTTGACTGTAGGAGTCAACTCTTTTTTAACAACTCGAATGCTTCAGGAATCAAACATATGTTATCAGCAGATTAATGGGTCTAATAAGGAACCATTTCAAGTCTGCACAATGCACTCTAGAAGTGCTTGTTAAAAATTGCACCAAACTCAATTTGGTGGTATTATTCTTTCAGGATCAGGAAGTCTTACAAATTTAAGCAGGAGGATCGACATACAACTGTGCATGATATTGTTATGCCAGTGGCCTAGTGTCAGTCTGTATCACATTATCTTCATGGGAATACCAAATAACAATATAACTATTACTAAATGATGCATAATTTTATGATATAATTGGATAAATCCATTCTCCAACCATTATCAACATGTTTTATATATCATTTTATATTTCATTATAAACATTTACCTAATAAGACCAAAGTGCTTGCCTCATTATCAGGCTGGAAGCATTGGAAATGTGGTTTGATAGCTGTCAGCCACTGGAACAGATATGATAGCTACCACATTCTATTTTTCAGGGCCAAAAAGGACCCACCGGTGGTGCTGGAAGAGGAAAGTCAGCAATTCTCAGAGCACAAGGTACGTGAATGGCTGTGGTACCAAGGCCTCAATGTGCTGCCTAGGGCCTTTGGCTGTGGATATGATGTGTAACAGACCACTTAAGATGGCATATTATCCTTTCTTGAGTGGTCTGCTGGATCATATTATATATACAGATATCTGTCTATCCAAGCTGTGTTAGAGTGTAAGCTACAAAGCTGTAAAAGGGGACTTTACTGATCATGCTGTCTGGCTTGTTTCAGCCCATCTGACTGATGATCTCTGGTTTGTCCCAGCATGTCTCACTAACTCTGTGCTGTTTCAGCGGCTCGAGGCCGCGGCCGATCGGGCGGCTTCCGCGGCCGAGGCGGCTGGGGCGGAGGTCGGCGGAAGTAGTCGTCTCGTCTCATCATCCCCGGCTCGGCAGCGGACCGGCGCCGCCCGCAGGTGGGCGCCCTGTGAGACTCACCGCACCACCGCGGCTCCACTCTGCCACCAACGCGCGCGTCCACTCTGTCTTATATTTCATGTCGCGTCTCAATACAGAAGTCATTTGTCACAGAACGCGCGTCTCTCGGGGTCACAGCCAGGCGGCGGGGTGGGGTGGTATCGTTGTCAGAGCACTCGCGGGCTGCTGACCCTCTGCACAATCTCGGAGCCCTCGGAGCCGCCGGAGCTGCTGGCGGCTCTGTCGGGCGGCGCCAGCAGCCGGGCTGGCTGCGCCACCGGCTCCGGCCGCTCGGCCGTCCAGTTTCCGCGCGAGGCCTGCGGTCGCGCGCCCTCCGGCGGCGGCGCCACCTGGTTGCGCATGTCGTGGTGGTGGCAGCGGCCGTGCACGTGGTGTCGCGCGCACACGTGATGGATCCGCTGTCCGGCCGGCGAGCGGTAGCCGCTGTCGCAGGCGGCTATCCGCTCCAGCAGCTCCGGATAATCCTCCGAGGTCGGGTCGAGTCGGTGCAGCCGGCCGCCCGGCGAGCGCCACACGCCCGACAGCCGCCGGTGCCGGTCGGCGGCTACCACGCCCGACGGCAGGCCGGCCAGCACCAGCCGGCGCACCAGCGACTCCTCGGAGAAGGTCCGCTCCGACCGGCCGGGCCCGGTCCGCCGCCGCCGGCGGTGCCACAGCGCCGCCACGCGCGCCGCGAACCCGCGCTTGCCGGCGCGCTCTGGCGTGCCTGCCGACGAGTCGGTCAGACTGGAGTCGGAGCGGCCGCGCGAGCCGGGCCGGCCGCGCCGGAACAGGTTGCGCAGGCTGTTGATGATGCCGTGTGAGTGACTGGAGCGCTGGCTGGCGCCCGGACTGACTCCCGGCGAGCGGCTGCCCCGCGACGGCGCGTCCGACAACGAGGGCGTCATCGGCGGCGTCATCGCGAGCGTCTGGGGCGACACAATCACCGGGGACGGGCTGCTGCCGACGGCGATCTGCTGGGGTGTGTCCGTGCCGAAGGCGGCGTCCACCACCCTGAGTAGCGAGGCGCCGCTGGGCCGCTGGTGGGCCCGTTTCGGTGAGATGGGCGGCAGGTTGTTGGGGCCGTACAGCTGCGCCGAGGGTCCGCCCGTGTCCTGCACCTCTCGAAGCTCGCGCAGCGGCAGCAGCATGCTGCTGCGCTGGCCCAGATTGCTGCCCACGCTGATACCGACGTCACTCATCAGCCGGGGCAGGCCGGCGGACGGCACCGGCGTCAGCCTGCTCACACTCATCCTGCCGGCACGGGGTACAGCCGTCAGTCACGGTGTACAGTCGTCAGTCACGGGCCACACTTGTCACCAGAGGAGCACAGGACAGGGTTGGACTGTCATTATTGGTTTGACTTTGTGACCGTCTCCCTGTGGTTGTAATTGTTGAGCTATTTACCGGTCTGCGTCAGCGTTGAAGGCCTCCAGCTGGTCGTCTGAAATGGCGTGGAGCGGCTCCCACTGCAGGGTGACGGTGGACCTGCGGCGGAGCGGGGCTGTGTCAGGGAGGCGACAGCACAACGTCTCTCACAGTCCACACTATAGACTGTTTTGGACTTAAATCACACTCCCGGGACGCCCTGTTGACTTTCCACTGTCATTAAACAAAAGACATACCAGGGTGAACGATAAACGACTTCTTTCTAGCCTTTTCCTGACCGTCTGCGATCGCCCGGTCGTACCCTGATGAGACGCTGGCGGCGCGGCAGCACATGTTCCGCAGCAGCTGACGCATCATCATGTTGAACTCGACGCTGGAGAAGTAGTAGAGCAGCGGGTTGAGAGGGGAGCTCAGCAGCGCCAGGTAGTGCCTGTCGGACAAAGGGAAGGGAAAGTCAGCACGACGTCTACAAGATGCGGAGGACACGCTCACACAAATGTGCTTAAACGTGTAATTAGACATTTCCGCCTTTTTTATTTTTTTTTTTATTCAGGCCTCCCTCCAACGGGCTCATATACAGGGTGTCTCAAAAGTTCGTTCACAGGTACCAGCCATGCTTTTTTGTCAATAATTCTGAATCAACAAGAAATTAACAGTCGAAATTTTGCATGGCTATTGGTGACAACCTTCCTCAAGCAGTCTCATTGTTTTCAAGTGCATTCGACCCTTCATGAGCTCACAAAAAGGGTTCACCTCTGACCATGGGTCAGGCACGAAAATGTAGGTTGCAAAGTCGGGTATGTTGTGAAACTCTCTGTTTCAGGAGTAATGGGAATGGTTAAGTCGGAAATGACACATGGCTAAGTGTCGGCGAGGATGAGTGCAACATGATGATCATCTCATAAAAACGGTGGCTAAAATTTTTGAAGGACGAAACCATGCGAGACTAACGGCGTTTTGAACGACCCTCGCACGACAGCAGACTCGTGTTCCGGAAAGCAGCTGAAAATGCGGTCATAACTATTGAAAACTGGCAAGAAGGTCACAGACAGAGGTTACCCATTTTCAAAAAGTGCAGGTCATAGTAAAATAAAGACAAATTATAATTTAAAATTGTTTATAATATCTATAACGCTAATTTTTGGGGACAATAGCACAAAAATCGTCAATGCCAAGGACACCTGACCCTCCAAAAGTGTCAGTTATTGTAAAATTTTATCTAACGAAGTTTCAAGAGGCAGATCTGCAGCGAATAATTTTCTTTTAAACACGAAATCCCGATAAAACCACACGATGGACAGGTTTGGGCCGTTTACAAAGCAGAACATCTCCCGAGGAAAACACTCCGCAACCGAGCGAAGGTCTTGGCATGGGGAATGACGAGCGCTTGGAATTTGCAAAATTTGCACAATGTGTCTGAGAAACAGACGTCCGACACATTCTGCTACCATATGATGCGAAAAATTTACTCCTGGTACTTCCCGTTTGTTCAGGACTGGGGTCGTTTTGAAAAGGAAAATGGCGCTTGGGATGTCGGCGCCAGTCATTCATGAAGGAGTTAGCGCCAAAGAATGCCTACAAAATACTCAAGAATGGTGTCGATGCAAGCTGTCAGCTTTCAGGGAAAGTCAAATGTTGCCGGGGAGCTAGTCAAAACTAAATCCGACGCAGAAACTGCAGGGGATTCCCTTGCAAGAGCTTGAAAGCTGGTAACCTTTTATCAGCCTCCGGCAGCTGACGGAGCAACAAAAATCGGTATGGGCAAATATTTTTGGAGATACAGCAAAGGGGTTGGTTTCCAACCTTCTTAATCAGTTGTCAAAGCATACATATTTGTCTAGTGTACACACAGACACCAAAACCTTATACTTTTGGCCGGTTCTTATATGCTTTATTGGCATGGGAAATGTGTGAACGAACTTTTGAGACACCCTGTAGTCCCAATTACAGGAGGGCTACTCCTCCTCCCGACCCTCATTACCCACCCCCCAGGCTAGGGCTGAAGTGGGAGCCTACCCCACACCTGGTGACACAGCCGGGGACGACGCCCGCGGAACGGGCGGAACCGGGAATCGAACCCGAACCCGGCACCGCCCGCACCGCGGGTCGACGCCTTAACCGACTGCGCCACCAGGGCCGCTCGTTATACTATTTGTCACTATGCTGTCTTTATTTCATTGGACCACTCAACTGCTTATTCTGCTCTGAACTGAATCCAACTGTCCGCTATCCCCACTTTGTCCCCACTCACACAATTTCGACAATGTTGTACGGCACGAGGCTCTCTGAGACGTGCGCGTTCAGCGAGTAGACCACGTAGAAGGGCAGCCAGCAGGCCGAGTGCAGCACGATCAGCAGCAGGAGGGTGCGCACCGAGCGCGCCTCCTGGTCGCCGTCCTCGAACAGACGCTTCCCGAGGCGCGGCGTGAGCCGGCCGCCGGCAGCGCGGACCTCGGCGGCCTCCCCCTCCGGCACCTGGCGGACCGATCAGACAACTGAGCTCTCACACTCCGGCACCTGGCGGACCGATCAGACAACTGAGCTCTCACACTCCGGCACCTGGCGGACCGATCAGACAACTGAGCTCTCACACTCCGGCACCTGGCGGACGGATCAGACAACTGAGCTCTCACACTCCGGCACCTGGCGGACGGATCAGACAACTGAGCTCTCACTCTCCGGCACTTGGCGGACCTCGGCGGCCCACTCTCCGGCACCTGGCGGACCGTACAGTCAACTGAGCTTACACCGACAGTCGATAGGTGGCGCTGAAGTGACTAAAAGACCATTATTCCGACTTCAGAGCGCTGGAGCTTTTGTAACGAATTATCCCAAATGACAGGACTGAGTTTTCTGGACCCGGGACTTGGTCTCCGTAGGGCAGAGCGGCTAATGAGTCCGCCTGCCAACACTGAGGTCTCGGCGGTAAACCCAGTGTTCCCGAGAGGTATGCCCAGCCTACACACACCCCTCGCCTTTACCAGCGTGTCCTCGAGGAGCCCAGCCTGCCCACACCCCTCTCACCTTGACCAGGGCGTCGCCGGTGAGGGCGCCGGGCAGGTGCCCCGTTCGGCGCGCCCGACGGCCGTGCAGAACCTGAACCAGCACCAGACACACGAACGCAGTGCCGTAGCATAGGTAGAAAACCACCTCCATCGCTATGTCGCCCTGAAAATACGCGTCATCAGCGGGGCGGTCGTTTTCATAGAGGCACGCTTGGCTTAGTTTCCGACCGCAGATCGGGGAGCTCAGGTCTATTGTGTCAGCCGGTAACGGCCGGTGAGCTGTGGCCTGTATCATCTGATCGGTGACCTGACCGATGACACCAAGGTCACATGTCGGCTGTCACCCTTGGTGACCTTGGTGGCCTGAACAATGACCTAAAATATTTAATTGCTGACCTATGACCTCTGCTTGGTGTCCTATGACCGGTGACCTCTGATCGGTAACCTGTGACCTCTTATCGATGACCTCTGACTTGTGATCAGTGACCAAACACTGACCTACGACAGATGACCTGTGGCCTGTGACCATTCACTGACCGGCGCCGCCTTCGTAAGCCGCTGGCTCGGTACACCTCCTTCTCTGTCGTCGGAGCAGATGTGGGTGCGCAGTGGGTGCCGAACGCTGCCGGTCAGCTCGAGCGCGGCGACCAGGGCCAGGGCGGCCACCCAGCAGCTGGCCACCACGGCCAGCGCGAGTCGGCCCGAGTGGCGGCTCAGGTAGTGCCAGCTCCAGCGGCCCTTCCAGAGCCGGTCCACACTGAGCGGCGACGGCCACAGCGGCGGACAGAGGGGTTAGAGGCGTCAAAGGCAGTTGTGAAGGATTTTTGCTCGTTCTTTTTACTTCTGAAGCTTCTTTTGATAAAGATTATGTCGCTTTACTTGAATTCTGCAGTTATCGGCTAAGGTCTGCAATGGCTAAGGTCTCCTTGCATGTTTACAAATTACCAAGCAATTTATTTCCCAGATTCTTCCCTCACAGTTTGTAAGTGGTGAATACCGCACCATATAATGATTGTAAGCGGTGAGAAACAAACCACAGACCTAACTCATTCATATTGGTAACTCCTCAGTCCATGGTATGCCCCTGAACCGGCTGCTGTCAGTTCCTCTATCCACTCTGTCCCCCACCCCTGCCCGTCCCGCCCCGCCCCGACCCTGGGGCGGCGCGGCGGTTCCGGCGGGGCAGCCGACCGCGGCGCCCGGCCCCGGCCCCGGCCCCGGCGCCCGGCCACGGCGCCCGGCCCCGGCGCCCCGCAGATACCATCAGCCGGTGCTTTTTCTACCGCTCCTTATTCTGACGCGGCAGTAATACCCTCAGGTCATTACGGGCAGAGCATTAGCACCCGACACGGAGCAATCTTTCCCGACCCGTTCCCATATATTCGCTCAGTCTGTTGGGGCTCGTGTTTGCGGCTGTTTGCGTCATCACACCCTCCTACTTGTGGGCGGGCTCAACACCCGCTAATAACACACACCGACACTGGATACCTCCGCTTCGAGATGAACACAGTACATATGTTTTTTTTTTCGCTCCAAATGACGTAATCGGCCAGCTCAAATAACATTGATTTTTAATTATTTTTTTTAGAAGTACCTTTGTTTGACAGTCTCATTCACACCTGCTACCTCCCTGTCCCAGCCCTGTTAATCAGGTATTCTGCCTCTTTACCTGCTATCCCAGTCCTGTTCGGCGGGTGCCTCTCTCCTGACCTGCTGTTCCAGCCGCATGTGAGACGGATCCCCTGTTCCTTGACCTGATGTCCAAGCGCTGCCATCCTGGTCCCGTGCTGAGCAACTGACCTGCTGTTCCAGCCCTGCCAGGAGGGTCCCTGCTCTCCCAGCCCCGCCAACCCGATCCCATGGTCTCCCGACCGTGCGATCCCGTCCCCCGCGGACCTGTTGCCGCCCCTACTGTCCCACTGACCCGATGGTGAGCACGCCGAGCGCCACCAGCAGCGCCAGCGAGTAGAGCAGGATGTAGAAGGAGGCGCACACCTCGCGACGGTAGTGCGCGTCGCGCAGCACGTGGAACGTCAGGAACGGACACACCACCAGCGAGAGCAGCGTGTGCACTACCGCCAGGTGGGCCACGTAGTAGCTGCAGCGGCATATGTTCGTATGACTAGGAATACAGTACTGCTGACAATGGCAGAAGGGATAGAGAACTGTGTACGCCACCGCTAGGCGCGCCACGTAGTAGCTGATGGCTTAGGTGGATATGAGGTCATTTCAGCGACTGGAAGGTATAGGGGATCGTATGCATTACCACTAGGCTGACCAGACAAAGGCGGAGGCTCGGGATGTTAGGGATATTTTTCTGAGTAACATAATGATCATGTTTGTCGTAGTCCTTGCCACAGTGCGGTCAGTTTTAGGATACGTACCGCTTCGCTAGAGCACTGACTTTGATAGATTACATCGGGCCATGACATGCATACGGTTTTCATAAATCATATTTTTACGGCACTGGAGAGTTCCCACGCTTTCGGTAGCATGAAGTTGTCCAATATGAGAGATTTTATTCCGGCTGCTATATTTAGGGAAGGACTTGGTCCCTTGATTACCCAACTTCATCCAAACAGCTTACCTCATCGGGTTATGAAGCAGTCGGCGGATGCACACCGTCAGGAGAACCAGGACGTTTCCAGCCACACCCAGGACGAGCGTCACCAGTGTGACCAGCATTATAATGGCCTTGTTGAGGTCCCAATAAATCCGGCGCTGGAAGGCGCCTTCATACTTCATGGCGTCCCGGTGGCTTGGTGCGGTTGAAGTCCACATCGTCAGAGCAGTGTGATTGTTAGTTTGGTTGAGCATCACCACACTGCCACACTACTTGACTTCGTTTCGCAGACAAGTTACTAACTAAAACAACGCTAAGTTTTCATGTGCTTACGAATGTTCCTACATCGTTATGTTTTGCTATTTTGCAACAAACAGAAACTGCATGTTATCATGGCACTGAAAAGGGTAATGCATCTTGCTCCCATCATTTGTGCTATAAGTGGCAAGGGCTATCTTATATTCATTAATACAGTACAATGGTTCGTATTGCCTGTGTGTTCTTGTCAATTTCCATCTGCATTGCGCTTCTTTTTACTGCTTTTGGCATGTGACCGCAGGAGATAGGTATTTCCAGAACAGCCAGCCGGTAAATATTTCCAGGATATGTCCGGAATGGTCCGTGGTAACCACCTTCGATCGATACTGAGTTTTGGCTGGAACGTAATATACCAGGATTGTCACAAGCTAGGTATGTGAGAGCTTTAGCGCAAGTCAACTGTAGGTATTGTATCACTATGGCAAAATGATATCTCACTGTGGAACGAATTTGCCTGGTATTGACGTAATATTGCTATTACTGCTCTCGTTCTTACACGATGCGGCACATAATATTTAACGTTTTGTAACGTCAAAGGGGTTAAGCTTTCTGCTATCTTTTTTTAGGGGAAGCCGCCTTGGCCGCTACCACGCTGCTTTTTTTAAGAACGCTCATTTTTATCTTTTCGTTATTTTATCAGAACCGTTTACTAAGAACGTGCTGCTGGATCTAGCATACTCCTAACAAAGTGCGCCGCTTTTATCCACTGACCTGTGGCATTTCCACTGAGGATCATAGTTGAATTCACTTTCAAAGAGAAACAGGTATCTTGATTATCATTTGGATCAGCGTAATATTTACAATTTCATCCAGTTTTATTGACTTATAGTGTAAATAAATGCATTGTAATCCGTTAACAACCGATAAACGGTCGGCTGACAAAGAAGCGGGTATTTTAAGACATTTGGTGAGACGTTAATGTAAACTTATGTTTTCTACCTGTGTACTGCATGGTCCCTTCACAGATATAACGTACTGTCAGATGCTATCGTATTATGTATGAAGACCTTCCGACTTCCGTATACTTGAGGAGAATTCGACACAGTTTATGAATGAGCTCGTTAGGTATCCTTCAGCCATCGTTATGCTCAAGAATGTAATGCAGGGTAAGGTGCCTAATTAGCGACCCCCTTAATTTGAACCGTCATTGCTCACGCTCTGTGGGTGCCACTGTGTTACTGGCTTGATTTTCGGAGAGATCGTTCATTTTTCTATTAAAATATAATCATTTTCTGCCCCAATATTCACTAACTTATTTGTAGTGAGCATTTTGGCAAACCATTGCAAAAAAACGCTAATAGGGAACTCTTCCCGATTAGCGTCCGGGGAGGGTCGCTAATAAGTCTATGGGTTTCCCCATATTAAAAATGGCAAAAAAATGCGTCGCCGGAAAAGATGAAATATGATCTAAAAAAGATAACCTATACGCAAAGCACTCAATCACTCGAACAGGAACGTTTATCCAACACATTTACTTATTTATATTTATTTATTTCACATAATCCGGTCATTCCACAGTACAGGGCTATTCATAGACCGTCGTCATACAGGATAATCACACACGGTAAATCGCGGCACGAACCTGGCGTTTAAGCATGCGTATTGAAGTGACATCGATGTTTTCACTGATAACGAATTGGTTGTATAGGCTAGCGGCACGATATGTAAAAAGTCTCTTTCCATGGTTGTTATGAGCACGTCCTGGGTTCAAGTGATCTGACTGTCGAGTTGTACGATGGATGGTCTCATGATTGTATGAAAGACTAGATCGAATTGCACATGGTTCACCGCTCGTCAAAATCTTATGAAGCAAACATATGTCAGAGAATTTCACAAACTGTTGAGCATCTAGCCATTCCAAATCGCGAAGTACATCTGATATGTGATCGTATTTGCGGCGGCCTGACAGCACTCTAGCGGCGAGATTAAACACTTTTTGTACTTTCGCAATCACAGTCAGGTTAGCACTGCCATAAACTTGTACACAATAGCGGATATGTGAAAACACGAGCGCGTCGATCAGGCGAGGTAAGACATCAGGCGGTAAGATATGTTTAACATGTGAAAGAGCAATGAGTATACCTATACATCGGCTGGTAACACGAGTCACATGCAGCTCCCAGGACAGAGTTTGATCCATGATTACGCCGAGGTTCTTAACGCTGGATGAACATTGAAGCTCCTGGTTCATGAAACGAATTGTGGGAATCACGCTAATTGCTCTGAGCTGGCGCCTATCCCCGCATAAAAGAATCTCAGTTTTGCTCGCGTTTACAAGCATTCCATTTTGCATAAACCATGTTTGTAAAACATTTAAAACACTTTCTAGAGAGGTTTTCATATCTAAAATCCTAGCACGGGGTCCTGTGATTGCGATCTGAGTGTCGTCAGCATATCTAACAAATGTTATACGGAAACCATTGAGCTCGGTTGGGACATGACATGCAATGTCGTTGGACGCGATGTTGAACAGTAGCGCTCCAAGGCACGTCCCCTGGAAAGTGCCGATGGTAATGTTCAGAGGCGCCGACAGTGTATCACCAACCCTTACGCGCTGCGTGTGACCTCCCAGGTAGCTTTTGAACCAGCCGGGTGATACCTGATGTTGCTGTAGCTTTGTCAAAAGGTTGGCATGGTCAATCACATCGAAACAGCGGCTCAGGTCTAGCAATGTTAAAATCGTCACCTCTGATTGATCCATGCCTCGTAAAATCGCATCTGTTACTGTTAAAAGCGCCGTACAGGTTGAGTGTTTAGCTAAAAATCCATGCTGGTCAGAGTTTATGAGGCCTTCAGCGTTTAAGTATGAGACAAGTTGCTCGTGAACAAGCTTCTCGACAAGCTTACATATGGTCGGCGTGAGTGTGATGGGTCTGAAGTTCGAAACGACAGCGGGATCGTCTCGTTTATGGAGGGGTAATACTACTGCCCTTTTCCAGGAATCGGGCACGGTTTCTGAGACTATGCTTTTATTTATAATTCTGAGAAGTGTTCTACCTATAGTACTAAATGTTTGCTTCAATATAGCTATCGGTATGTCATCGTCAGTGGCTGCTGATTTGTTTGGAAGAGAGAAAAGCACTCGTCGCAGCTGGTCGAGTGTCACAGTTTAATTTGCCGGTGTTGACTCGAGGGAGACGTGTGTTTAGTGGTTGTCTCCCTGATTGTGTGTAGTCACTCATGACCTTGTCCCTGGTTTCTGTGCCAATGGATGTAAAGTAGGCATTCAATTGGTCGGGTGTGAGGTTGACAGGCTGCGTCGGTGGTCCGCGCCTTGGGGCAATCACCGGCTGTAATTGGCGGTACAGCTGCGATGGAGGGGAGCCTCTTACGCGCTGTGAGATGTCATCGCGTCTGTCCTTTCTAATGGCCCTTTTGACAGCAATGTTGAGTCGCCTGTACGCTTCCATGTTCCCGTCTCGCCTCGCTTCTCTAAGCTGGGCCATCAACTCTAACGTGTCGTCACTGACGGGCGGTGGCGAGGGGTTATGTACACGGAAACGTCGGATGGGGGCATGCATATCTAAGATGCGGTTCACCTGGTCACTGAAACACTCCCATTGACGTTCACACGTGTCGTCACGCCGCACGGTCACATGCCAGTCCGTGTTACGCACATCAGTGATGAGATCGGACATGTTCATAGCGCGCCAGTGACGGCCAGTGCGATATACGGGCCGAGAGTGTCGGATTCGTGTTGGAGTTACGTGAGTAAAAACTGATCACGTGATGCACCGAAGGCGAAAAGAAGGCGGAAACCCAAATTTTGCGGGCTATCTTGTATGATATTCGAGGTCCGCCCTGAATTCGGCACCCCTGCAGTCGGTGACGACATTTGGCATCCCCTGCCACACATTGCAAGCTTCAGCAACACCTCATTTTCATTTCTCTCTTTTCCCCTTTCTTTCCCTTCTTGAGCTATTTGCGACCATGTCAGGCGCAAATAGGAAATATGAGCTACGACACATTTTTAACCGCCATGCTGTGCACAGTTGAGCAATTCACTATGGGAAAACGGCAATCAATTAAAAAAGGAATGTCGATTCAGAATAAAAAAGGTGCATCATACTAATGTGCATCGCTTTTCATCAGAGAGGGCCCAAACACACACGTTTTGGATAAGAAACTCGTCATTTTCATTTAAACTCACCTGAAACGTTCCACCAGAAACATCGACGACCGGAAAATAATTTAATTTGATAACCAAAGTATGGCTGACCTTTTGACGATGTTTTTACCCCGTTTTCTCCTCCCAGTTTTTCTGTATATACGGAGGTAGGTCGCAAATCGGAAAGGGTCGCTAATTAGGCACCTTACCCTAAATGATTTATGATTTTAATGATCGGACGATAAAGCAGATGTCTGTAACCGCAGGTTGTTTCTTCATTAAACACTATTCGTTAGAATTGTGTTTTTGTATTGTATTACGCTGTAATTCGTTGAATCACGCAACTCAGACTCTAATAAACGAGTGTTTGAAGGCGAAACATTGAGCTCCTCTTGATCAGTAAAACGAGTCTTGCTCTTGCACTTGTTTCTGAAAATAGCGGACCCGATAGCAGTTGCTGGGGTCAACCGAGCTCGTCTCCAGTTTGATAATCTAAGTTGCATCGCAATGCATCGCAATACATTTTGCGACAGACTGGAAAATTCGCTGTTACCGTAAATAGATGAACTGAGAACAATGCTTATGGGGAAGGAGAGCTTTTCAGTGCTCATTGCGTCGGCATTGTTGAAATATTTAGTTACGAGTTTGTTCAGCTTAAATAGTTCGTTCATTGCATGATTGTTTGTACGTACCTATATTTTTTATGTTTGCTCTGGTTTGAAGGCACAACGTAAAAAGCCAGTCGTGGACGTAACCTTTATTTCACCTGGATTTCTATTTGGTTTCAGTTCCGTGCCATGCCTCGGCGGATCTATCCTATGGCGGCCTCGCAGGGAGCCGCTCGTTATATTAATGCTTATTGCTACTCTACCAACTTCATATAAACAGTGAACGGTTGTAAGCGTCTCAGCGAACAGGAAGCGAACTGACATCGAGGAGTAGGCGCCGTCGAGAAGCCCAGACGCGCAACAATGGCTGCTGTGTTGCGCCTCTGGGCGACCGACAGCGCAAAACTACAGTTGCCAATATGCGCATGACAACAGCGGGCGACATGACTTCAAGCATCCAACAGCAAACACTCAGCAAGCACGCGCACTCGCACTGGATGGTCTGGTAGTCGTCATTCAATGTGCCGCACTAGTTAAAACACCTAATGCACACACTCTCGCGCACAACAGTGGATCAGTATGACGGCGGTTAATTAATTAAAGCTAGCGGACCGTCTGCTCCGGCGGAGTCGGCCGCCGCCGCCCGCCGTTCCCGATCTCCGGCCGGTCTGTGATGTCGAGTGGGGCCAGCTCCGGCCGGAGACGGGGCCGAGCGGACGGTACCCCGAGTCGCCCCTCCCTCCCCACACACACAGCACCATCGTACAGCGCGCCATCGGTCCGCCGGTCAGCGTCACACCAAACAGCGCGGCGAACAGATAACCGAGAACGAACGCGTCAGCGACCGAGCGATCAGCGCAGCCGGCCGCCTCCCGTGGGCCGAACCCGCCCGGCGCGG